TCTCATCCTGTAACTACACTTAGGTAATTACTAGGCCAAGACTAGGCCATTACTATACTAAAATACCAAGTTACGTAACTTTTAGCACATTGTGGTCTAGTGTTTTAGGGCATGTGCTTGAGAGTACCCAGTGTGCAGGTTCGAATCCTCCTCATCGTTCCTACTGATTTTCTTATTGCTATTATTATCAGAATCCTGATCACTAAATCATGAATTGAATCATTTTATAGAAGTACATTTTCTACTGGAACATGAGAAACCATTTCATGATGTATAAACGCACCAAAGCCCAGCTGTGTGCTGTGGACAACATAACCAGCATTGGGTTCAGTGATATCTAAACACTGGACATAATGGTTTACCAATGTCGGAATGAGCAAGCTTGTCAGGCTTATTGAGGGTTGTCTAGCCAGGTTTAACGCTGTCTACATAGGTACCCATTCATTTACTTGTCAGATCTAATGATGATTAACCTAATTTAGTGACATATCGCTCAATAAATAATGAAATGGGTCATAGCATGAAGCATTGAGGCATCAAATCCCAATCGAATATTTTAAAAATCACCATTTGTTCCATGTCCATCATCCATAGTTCAAATCTATTATTTTGCCTATGATTTCATAAAATTCAAATTTCAAAGCTAATTTAGTACATGTCCAAGGCCTTGTGTATAGTTATGAAAGTTTTGGAAATCATTTTACAATTTACAAAAAAATTAATGACTATCATTCGTAAGAAAGAATTTTTATACATTAAAACTATAAAATATATCCTAAAACATAATACAATGATTGGCTAATTTTATTTTTACTGTGTGGTCTCCCTACAACATTTAGTTCAGTAACCTGTTATTGGCAAATAAAAGTATAATTAATAAATATATATTTAATATTCTAAACAAGTCTTACAAATAATTAAAATCAACTAGCAAACTATCAAACTGGTTGGGCTAGTAACAACATAATAAATAAACTGATGTATGTTGCATAAAATAATATTACAGACACTATTCATCACTACACTTACTAACTAGGAATGCACCAAGTAACTTACGACAACCACGGGATTTCATGTCATGAATTACAAATGCTACAGAAGGGTGCATTACAACCCTTGAAGATCATGCCAAGTCATTCTTGTGCCACAACAAGATATGTAGCCAATTATTTAGCATCACATCATTCAGGTGCATATAATGAAGGAGACATCAACTGTCTATCCCGCCACTCAGAAGCTTGGAGTAATACATCCAGCCTTCCACCATTTAACTGCACATATTACAGGCATGAAGAAGCTAGACTCGCAGAAAAACAGCTCTGACTCCACCCAATGTTCATCATGCAGTGAGCCAAGTACAGCTAAGCATGTTTGACTTCACCCATTGTTCATCATGCAGCAAGCCAAGCCCTGTTAAACATGTTTCACATGACATCCAAGGATGCAGCTAACAGGATGTCTATCACTTATGGAAACTTGGCAATTACAGCAATGCCATCATAATTTTCAATGCAGCTATCTGATTATTGTGACCTGTCTCATTATATGGCAGTATTACTTGGAAGTTTCTAAACTATCCAATTTCAAATAAGCTGACTGTTATATGAACAATTTTCTAACGAGTACGATGCTGCAGTTTAGTGGCTTAGTTCACAACTTTTGTGTTTACTTGTGGCAGCCTGCCCCGGGTGTCGCAAGACTACTTGGGTCATCACCTGGTTCCTTCACCATTCACTCTGCATTCATACTCACATCCTGCCAATGCAAAGTTACATCAGTATATACAGTATAATCAATTTATGAAATACTGTGTGAATTTAGTGTAAATACAGAAGCGCCACAAGTGGTTTAATTTGTGTAAGCGAAGCTCAAGAGTAGCTAGAGATGGAAAATTTGCTGGTACAATGAAAGCCTCGGTGTAAAAAAAAAAAAAAAGGAGAGCATTGAATGCAATGAAATGGTTCTTTCTGGAACCAGTTCTCCTTGATGGCTTCTTGGTGCTTGCTACCTGGCAAGCTCCACCCACTTCAATCCATACCAGGCCCTTGCAAATCACATAAGCCTACAAGGGACCTGACCCCAAAACCTGGGTTCCCCCATCCTCATCCTCTAAAGAGGTGCAAGGAACAGTAGACTGTACATCACCCTAACTAAGTATAGGTCACCAGAACGGTAGGCAGACCAAAACATACAAACAGCATGGTAAACACAGCATAGAAAACAGAACAACAAAGCCCAAAGATTCGCAAACCTCATGGTTATGAAGCAGCTTGTTAGTACCGCCTGCACATCACTAGAGGGATTACACATCTTCCTCCTCAACCCACTGACCCTGACACCTCAGTCATGCAGCCAGAAAGAAGAAAACCAAAGCCTCTGAATGGGGAAGGGAGGGTCCCAAGTTGCCACCAAAGAACCACCAAATGAGGCATTTCATTACATTCAACGATGGTTTTTTCTGGAAAAGCTCTTAATGGTGATTTCTTGGGGCTAAGTCACCATGAAGAAAAACACGGGTACTACCTCACTAGAGGTGAAGGAAAGCTGTAGAAAGTGACCCTCGAGAATGAAGGAATTAGCAACAAGTTAACCGTCCCAAAGACATGACATTCAAGACTTGGCAGAAGGTCTTAACAACCAAAGATGTCTGTGATTACAGAAGAATTACTAGGTGCAAAAAAAAAAAAAATCCTAAAGGGTTATCCTAAATGGAACTAAACACATGGAAGGAGGATTTAGGAATGTTAGAAAATTACAAAACTATGTTGCTGGAAAATTGTGGTCATCACAATGAGATCTATCTATCAATGGAAAACAGTGAGAAGCTAAACCTCAACCTTGATGAAGTAAAATAATGAAATAAGGGTAGGAATGAGGAAGAAATTATTTTTCCCACAAGGTGATAGAGATCGGGAAGCCTGTGAAATGGCTAAGATACCAGACATTGTATCACTAGCATAGACGAAACATCAATACAGTGACACTTCAGCTTACGAATGCCCTCTTCATGAACTTTTCAGGTTACGAGCCCAATTTCTTCATAAAATCCAAATCGCATTACAAACTTTGTCTCGGGTAATGTAATTTGTTGATACACGTATGGTCGACCTATCGCGTGGTGGCACAGCGACTGATTTCCCTCCGTTCTTATTTAGTAGGCCTCCCAGTCCATTGATTTCACGTTAATGCCACCAAGTACGTACCAACAATAGTGATTTATCATTATCTGCCCTTACTACAGTCTCTCATGAACATTATGAGACCGTCACGTTTTAAATTTACCTCCTCCTTTGTCCATGTGTACAGTTACCTAGCAGCATGCAGTTGCTACTAGCAGGTGACCCTGGATGGATTGTTTCAATTTCTGATTCTATGTTGTCTTTACTGTTGTCTGTATTGTATTGCTCTACCTTTCTGGTAGTGTTCTCTTTGAGTGATTTCCAATCCTCAGTTCATTTCACCTGTATAGAGGGGAACCAGGTTTTGGCCTCTGTTAACACTATCGGTCACTTTGGACCAGACTCTCGTCCATTATTTTTCTCCCGAGTCCTAACTTTGGACCGGACTTGCGTCCACTACAAAAATATTTGTATAAAATTCATTTTTTATCCAATCGACCTCGGGATAGTATCAAAATAAGTGCCTTTAGACTGTGCACAATTTGATACCAAAATGAAAGATGTAACACGAAACTTGATGTCCAAACACTTATATTATAAATAGGCTTTTGGGCAAAATTTTAAAATATTTGATAAAATTCTATTTATTGTGCTATTATGTTGGGACTAGTTTTAAAATGCGCACCTTTATGTCGTGAACAATTTGATACCAAAATGAAAGATGTAACACAAAAATTTGTCAGAACACTGGAAAGATATAAATAATTTTGTGATGATGAGCTTCCAGAATTAAAATATTTGTTAAAATTCCAGTTATTGCTCTATTATTATGGGACTAGTTTTAAAATACGCGCCTTTTTATTGCAAACAATTTGATACCAAAATGAAAGACGTAACACGAAAATTGATGTAATCATACTGAACGAGTATACACATTAGGTTGCAGAATACAAATTGGTGCTCGTTCACAGGTAACTTTAGGCTTTTCTGCGGGAAGGCACTCCAGGCTTTTGTACATTATATTCATACACATCTGTAGGGAATTTAATTGCGAACACAATGATACCAAAACGAGCGACATAGCACGAGAATTAAGGTGAGAAAAATGGAACGAGTATGCACATTTTACTGATTTTGTGCGCTCACGGGCAACTTTTGCCGACTTTAGGCTTTGCTGTTGGGAGTCACGCCAGGCTTCTGGACATTATATTTATACACACCTGTAGGGAATTTAATTGTGAACACAATGATACCAAAACGAACGATGTAGCACCAGAATTAAGGTGAGAAAACTGAAACGAGTATACTGTACACATTTAGGCGTCGCCGCACGCTCGCCCGCACCATTGAGGCCATGACGTCAAAGTCTGCAGCGCGTTCGTGGGGTGAGCGATAGTGTTAAAGTGGTAGGCTTACAGTGACTCCCAAGGGCCTAGTGTGAATCGAATTGGGTGGCGCTATCTAGGTTGTTAGCAACAATAAGCCTCCATAAAAGCCCTCTTAGAAAAATGGATGGTAAAAAACAGATAAATCTTTACATAGAGCAAACGAAGCAAAAATAAATGCAATACATAGAAGATATACCAATATTGGTGCAATAAAAGGCATACAATATTTTATGAAGCAAATGTTATCATATGAGAAGGTGGTGAGATTAAATTTTAGGACGAGTGCATGAACACCTTGAAGGAATTCTGCCATTACTCTATACAGTACTTAAGATAAGCACACTACCCTGTCATACTGAAAACAAATCAGTGTATTAATACTGTATAGTATTCAAAGTGAATGGCGAATAAAAATTACCATGTACCTAGGATTATGACAACATAGTCTGAGCATTCATGCCGAGATTACAAATGGCAAAGAGAAAGAACACACCATAAAGCGGCGGCTCCGAGACGAGTACAGCTAGCGTCTCCATGCGGCCACATTGACTGACCTCACTTGCTGCCCACCCACCACTCTTTTCAAACACTCCACCTATGGGAAAATAGAGAATATTGCACTGTATTATGTGTTTTCTGCCATTTGCTACCTTAAGAAGTATGTTAATAAGAGTTTGTTAATCATACTTTAATCAGCTGCTTGACCACCATTATCAGGGTTTAGCCCATGTACCAGACACCCCTTAAATATGACAAACCTATGGAGTGCATACAAAATTGTTCTCCCCCAAAAAATTTTCTTCTAACATTGTTAAAATGTATTCCCTGATCACACAAAACTCAAAAAAAAAATTAAATAAATATTGTAAGTAACTTACTTTGGCTGTGATGGAGTGATGAAGTTTGACAATTTCCGGGCACCATGTGATTATTTGCCCCATGGTGTTTACCCAGGCAGCTCCATGGGGGTAGGAATTGCCGCTAAGACATTTTTACACAATTATTTCAATGTCTCTAAATGGTTTTCTGAGGTAAGCCATGTCAGCTCCCTTAAGATATCACACTGATTAAGTGCCATGCTACTTAGTGCCATCAGTCGTAGAGTTCTATTGGCCTATAAGTCAGAACCTGGCCCCCCCCTCAGAGGGGCACAGGAAGTGATGGCCTATGAACACTTTACATTTAAAGTACAATTATATCATCTTTGCCACCATCCAAGGAAAGGCACCCAGAAAGATAGGCAAATCAAAACAGACAACTGCATGGTTAAAAATGAGACAGCAGCCCCAAAATTGCCAAAAGAACTTCCCAACAATGAAAACCACCAAAATTTCATAAAACTAGCACTTGCTAGTTTGCCCCACCTCCCCCCTTGTTTGGGGGGAGGGGGGGGGGAAGAGGGAGGCAGACCGGGTCAGCAGGGTCCCACCACTTTCAGTTCTAGACTGATGGTTGTGGCTAGTGGTCGTCATCGCTCTGGCTCCAGTCTCCCATTTTTCGAGGGATGTGTTGTCCTTGGGGATGTTTTATTACACGGGAGTGTGCATGAGCCAGAAATTTGGTGTACTGGAGCTGCATGTGCTCAGGGCTACCTTCCCTGTGCACTCTGCAAGTACTGTACTACCCTTGCATGGTCAGGGATGCCTTCCCTGGGGCATTTAGGAAACTAGCACCAATATTGTTCATTATCAATATGAACAATCTACTAGAAGAAATACAATATTATATGAAAATGCATGCTGATGATGCCAAGGTACTAGGAAAGATAAGAAACTTTGACAATTGTCATGCCCTTCAAGAAGACCTGGACAAAATAATTGTATGGAGCCACACTTGGCAAATGGAATTTTATGTGAATAAATGCCATATTATGGAGTGTGGAATAGTGAAAATAGGCCACACATACAAGCTACAAATTAAGTTAAAAAATAATGAATTCTGATACATTAAGAAATCTAGGTTCCGGATAAAAAAAAAATTATCACCTGAGGATCACATAAGGAACATTGTGCAAAGAGCGTATGCCACACTTTTCAACTTTAGAATCACTTTTTGCCATCCATGTATTTACATGGATGACAAAATATAGAAAAAATTGTTCATGACCTTTCAGATACCAAATTTGTAATATGCAACTCATATTCTCAAACACCACATTCCCTGCACTACGCATCACAACTAAGTTTGTCTTTAGGACCATCATAAAATTTATAACTCCCATGCATACAAGGGGCTCACATTTGCTTCCTCAGCCCTCCAGTAATCATCCTCCATCTTGAAAAAAAAATCCTGACTCCATCACTTTCCTTGTAGGGCCTCACTAAAAAGATGAGGGCCATGTCTGGCACATCACAATCCAGTGTCAAAATGTGCAGAGCAGCCATACTCGGAACCATCAAAGTTTTAATAACAGCAAGTGAGTCATTATCATGCAGATATTTACAGGCAAAAAAATGTGCTATGTGCATTTATAATACAGTATATATATATATATGCAAACCAGGGAACTGTTATCCAACCTTAGGATTATGGATACTTTAAATAAAGGGGCAAAGGCAGCCCTGCTATTTAATAAAATTAATTTTGTTGGGGACAAGAAGCCTGTGAAGTAATTCAGTACTTCAGGTTTGTACCAAGGTCTCCCCCAAGGTTGAACTATTGACCCTCCCCAGGACCTAACTCCACTACAGCTGCCTAACTCCTAGCTACCTATCTACTGGTATGTGAACAGAGGCATTAGAAGGAAGGAAATGTGCCCAACCACTTGTCCTATCTGGCAATCGAAACCCAGGATCTTCTAAAAACGGTAAAAGCACATTGGCAAATACTGTAAATATTTGTGGAACACTTTCAAGTGGATTCCAAACGATAGACACCTCTCAGCATTCAGTTGGTGACCTTAAGAGTTCTGTAGTTGAAAAATAGGGCCTCAATAACAGTTGTATTGTCATTACTACTCTTTAAGCAAACCAAAATTAACTGAACACAAAGTGTATATTGTTTGAGAGGTGTGTTATGTCACTGACAATCAGGTTGTAGCTCTGGATCTTTCTGGCCTAATATTCGACTTGTATCCAACACTTAACCCTGTCAACCAAAGCAACAACACACAAAACAATACCAACCGATAGCCAGATCTACAATCAACTAGAAGGAAACGTTTATTGCCACTGTCAAGACATTCATTAATAGAATAGTGAAATGTTAATGGTGTTCCCCCACAGCACAACTCCTATCTTCGTACCAGCCATGATACAGTATGGGTTAGTCTCATGCCCCTAATGTGCATGGTGTGTGGTGTTAGGCAGCACCTATCACGCCCCCATGCCAGGCCAGGAGCCAGACACAGCTGCTACTCCTACACCTCCCTCCACACACACACACACACACACACACGTACACACTGCCAGGCCTGCCAAGCCTCCTCCTACCAGGCCTCAACAATCCCCTTATTCCTCCTCTCGCCACAATATCAAGCAGGTGACAGAGTGTGTACGAGCTCCGCCTGGTGCTCTATAGTACATTTGCACAGCACGTACTTGTGGCATAGCAGCATCAGGGTCATACTGAGGGTGAAACACAGCCGATACTCTAATGTAAATTGTCAGCCATTGTTGATGCGTTTCCTCTAGTACCAACATTCGCCGCTAGGAGGAAAACAAAGAAAAAACAAACGAATGATGGCTATGCGTTCTCCCTTAATTTTCCAGACAAACTGCAATAAATCCTTCATTATACACATTTCTTTACATAAATATAAAATGCTTGTAGATTGATTAAATATAATATTAAATGAGTATTGCGACACAAAATCATATTGTCATGAACCCATTAGTTTATAATCAATTCATTATTGTTTTTAACCAACCTGTAACTTGCTTAGCTAAATTAATTTTTGGGTTCAGTCCCCGAGGTCATTATGCGCCTCTGTAACCATTTCCACTACCACCCACAGGATGGATATGAAGTGCAAAGTAAGTTAACTAAACTAACTCATTTAGTTTTAAGTTTTAATTTTTTCCTTCCATATTATGCCCGTAACGCTGTGTGAATTAGTGAATTTGGGCATTGTACTTGTCTTGCCTATGACTTATAATCTTCTTGCATCCTCTTCTGATACTAGAAAGATTATAATAATAATAATAATCCCTGGGAGTTAGTCAGCTTGGAAGCCTAACATATACTGTATGTATAACAATAACTTTCGACATAATGAATTATTATCAGAAGGAGATGTGTGACAAGTATGAGAGGATAAGTAAGAGAGACGTGCAACAAGTAAGTGAGGCACGACAAGTAGGAGAGGCGTGACAGATAGGTGAGATTCGACAAATAGGTGAGACGTGACAACCAGGAGAGGCGTGACTAGTAAGAGCGGCGCGACAAGCAGGAGAGGCGTGACCAGTAGGAGAGGCGTGACAAGCAAGAGAGGCGTGACCAGTAGGAGAGGCGTGACAAGCAAGAGAGGCTTCAGGAGAGGCGCGACCAGCAGGAGAGGCGCGACCAGCAATTTAGTAGCAGTATAAACATGAGTTTATAATCTGTATCTGAATCTGTATCCACTGTATTTGTATTTTATGCTACCCAATCCCCCCAATATATGTACCTAAGCCATATAACTTTACCATTGTATTCACTGATATCATCTTTATCATGGTTGTTATATTAAACACATTGTGTGCTACGCAATCCCCTAATATATATACCTAAGCCTTACAACTTTACCATTAGACATTACTGTCATATGTGTTATCAGTGTGCTTAATGTGCCTATTAATCTTTGTCATTATCAATCAAGCTATTAATGCTTCCAATCAAAGCTTTCAATGTGCTTTAATGTACTTTAATATGCCTACTAATCTCTCTCAAATTTTCTTACAATGTACTTGTTAACATTTTATATATTTTGCTAGAAATTACCTACTTAATATTATCTGTTAGATTAAGGACCTGCCCGAAACGCTGTGCGTACTATAAGTGGCTTTACAAGAATGTAAACACATCATGCTATGTATTCTCATTAGCCCAATATAACTTCTTGTGTATAAATAAATAAATGCAGGAGAGGCTCGACAAGCACCTGCGACAAGCAGGTGAAGCATGACCAGCAGGAGAGGCGCGACCAGCAGGAGAGGCTCTACAAGCAGGAGAGGTTCGACAAGCAGGAGAGGCGCGACCAGGAGGAGAGGCGCGACAAGCAAGAGAGGCGCGACAAGCAAGAGAGGCGCGACAAGAGTGCGTGAGGTACGAGGTGGCGGCAGAGGGCCGCAAGAGGACGCGGGACAGCGGACACAGCGGCCACTGCCCTTACCATAACTCCGCCGTAATATGCAGCGTATCACCACAACCTCATCCCCCAAATACTATTCGAGGTAATCTACGCTCCCAGCGGCTCACAGGTGTAATGAAATTAAAGTAATCTCTTGAAATACTAAGGTGGCCCTTTATGAAGAGGAATGTACACACACCTGACCTCTTGTTTTGGTCGTCATTTTTAAAACGTTGTTAATTTAGCGGAGTTGTGTGAGGGGAGGCGAGGATGATGGGCGTCCGGGGCAAGGTGTCGGCGGAGTGGAAGAAGAGAGTCAAGTCCGAGTACACGAGGCTCAGGTCCCTCAAGAGGTTCAAGCGGGCCGACGAGATCAAGGCGGCGTGGAACGATAACAGAGCCAAGCTGACTGGTAAGATAGCCGAGTGTAAGCTTACTTGTAGGAGGCCTGGCCACGGTGTTTACCTCCCTCCCTCCCTCCTCCACACCTGGCCACGGCATTTACCCCCCCCCCCTAATCCACACCTATCCATGGTGTTTGTAACCACACACCTCGTCCCTTGTGTTTATCAGTCCTCCATCACAACACACCTGGCCACTGTCTTTACGGCCCTTCGACAACATCACACCTGGCCACTGTCTTTACGGCCCTTCGACAACATCACACCTGGCCACTGTCTTTACGGCCCTTCGACAACATCACACCTGTCCACTGTTTTTACGGCCCCTCGACAACATCACACCTGTCCACTGTCTTTACGACCCCTCGACAACATCACACCTGTCCACTGTCTTTACGACCCCTCGACAACATCACACCTGTCCACTGTCTTTACGACCCCTCGACAACATCACACCTGTCCACTGTCTTTACGACCCCTCGACAACATCACACCTGGCCAAAAAATATTTTATCACTCCATCTCATTAACACCTTGGTGGTCCAGCTTCTCCGCATGTTCCTGACTGTCAACGTTCAGCAGGGATCCCTGGGGCCACTCGGGGCTTTCGGTGATGTGACAAATGTTTACAATCATTTTGTTTTTGGAAGTTAATTTTGGGTTATAACTATAAATTTGGTTTCAAAATGTTTGCAATTAAATTTTCTGGAGAATAGCTGCAAAAACAAGTGTGTACTGTATTTCAAATAGATTGTGTGTGACAGCAATGTATATAGGAAAATTTATAAATAGCAATCGGATGACATGTTTTAGCATCTGTGGAGCATTTATTGTTAGTGTGTGGATTGCACCTTTTAGCGTCTTTCGAATGTTAGTGTTAATGGTACTGTATGCCCTAAGTGGAAGATAGGTACATTTTACATTTTTGTAAATGTTGGTTATGGTTATAACCATATTTTGTAAAAATGTGGTTATATTTTATAACATTAATTTGTCAGACCTTCTAGATCAAGAAGATCAGACTGTAATAGGGATGGGTCCAGTTTGGGTGTGCTCGGTTGAAGCTCCGCCACACCAGGCAGTCATGAGGCGTACACATGTCACGTCTTCCTGTGGTGAGCCCCTTGCTGTCCCTATCAAGACTATTAATGCTGTAAACCCAATCCCAACAATGTACACTTGGGCACCCCTGCAACAAAACTTTATGGTAGGTGGCTAATGTACATATAATTTGTAACTTCTAGAATTATTTACATAAATGTGTAATGGTGTGTGCGAGTTACCTTTGAGGTTTGTTATGCTTGTGGTATCCTGTTTCTTATAAATTTAATCCATGTGGTTCATTGCTGTATTATATATAATTTTGCATTTGTTGACTAAATTAGGGTACAGCATTAAAAAAAATGTAAACCATGGAAATGTAACAGCAACAGCAATGGTTTACCTAGTAACAAGTGATATTGCTTTCACTGTGTTCCTAGTGTGTGTTTTCCATGTCAAACTAGAATAAAATCTTGCATAATGTATGTTTATATTGTCCATATTTTCACTCTTCGACAAATTATAGTACTGTACTGTATTTATAACAACTCCGAAAGCGATGTCCAAAATATGAATTGTTGTAGATGGCGAAGAAAGAAGGCAAAGACCAAATTAAACTTTACCTTGGCATATTAGTACTGTATATGCGACGGGTGTGGTATCGCAGCTACACTGAACCAAGATGGTATGGCTCTCCCTCACACAAATAAAAAAAAATGCTGCTATTGGCCTTGCAGTGTGAAAGTCGCAGGTGGAAACAAATTAAAATCATCAAATAAATAATTAAAACAATTTACTGAAATATTAATGAACAAAAATGACACATGACAATACTTGGCTATTATTATATAGCAAATCAAATAAGTAAAGGCATTGGCTGAAGTCAGACGAAGGGTGAGAGACACGAAGGTGTTCCAAGAGCACTAAGGGAGAGACTGGCTCTCCAGGGAAGCGGCGCCCTTTATATAGTCCAGGGGTGATGACTCATCCAGTGTCAACACGAGGTGGACATCTGGTCAACTAGCAAACTGCTCGTTGTGCCTGGCGGTGCCTTTGTGTTGAGCTGTACCACTGTCAGTTGAAGGCGGCTAACTGCTTGTTTGTGGGGGCAAACTACTGGTTAGCAGAGGCGCCCGGCTTGCCTCTGAGTTGTACCAGGCCGTGCCCGGTCCTGGGGGGGTACTGAGAGGTGGCAGGACTGATGACTCACCTGGGCTGGTGTAGGTGTAGACTTCCAGTGCAGAGGCATTGAAGGTGAAGGGAAAAGGCAGTTCCACTGCTATGCAGGGGATTCACGTGACACTATCTATCTATCTATCTATCTGAACAGGATCCATGGCTATTTGATACCCATGCACAATGAGGTTACATTAACATGTATCAATGAGAAATCTTATTCAGTACCCTCCCAGCAATAATAATAAATATTGCTGGAACAAAGGTGGTCTACTGGAGAAAAATTACATGTTCCTGCAAGGAGTGCCGGACCAACCAGTTGTAGTTGATATGGGGTCCTGCATGCCACTCCAACCATCAGTCTTTTGAACCAAGTTATTACAAATCAAGCCTTGGCCCAAACCAGGCCTGGAGTAGAAAACTTCCAAAATCTACTCCTCATATAATTCAGGTATGTTAAATTATAATGCAACAGGTACTACAAGATTAGTAGTTAGGGTATGACAGCTGAGTGGACGGCGCTTGGGATTCGTAGTACAGTACTAAGATTCCGGGTTCGATCCCTGGTGGAGGCAGAAACAAATGGGCAGTCTCTCTTTCACCCTGATGAAATAGGTACCTGGGAGTTAGACAGCTGCTATGGGCTGCTTCCTGGGCGTGTGTAACAAAGAAGGTCTGGTCCAGGACCGGGCCGTGGGGACGCTAAGCCCCAAAATCATCTCAAGATAAGGGCAAAAAGGGCTGAACCTCATTCACTATGTTAAATTATAATGCAACATGTACTACAAGGCTAGTAGTTTGGGTATAAAGAGCTGAACCTGCAGTCCACTGTAAGGGTAAACATCATTTCCTTCACCACCTTTAAAGAACACAATAAAGTTACTTTCACAATTGCAAATAAAAGGAGAGCCTGGATAACAGGAATCCTTCAAACAAGAAATGCCAAACCAATGATGGTATTTAAGATTCTAGTGCTATATAGGATTGGGATATAACATTTTGGAGTGAACGATATGCAAGAAAATGCAGAATAGAACCAGTGAAGAGCAGAGGTGCCATAAGCACAATCAGAGAACACTATAAACATCAGAGGTCCACGGTTGTTCAACGTCCTCCCAGCGACTATTAGAAATATTGCCGGAACAACCGTGGCCATCTTCAAGAGAAAACTAGATTTTCTAAAAAAAAGTGCTGGACCAACTGGGCTGTGGTGGGTATGTGGGCTTGCAGGCCACTTCAAGCAACAGCCTGGTGGACCAGGCTCTCACAAGTCAAGCCTGGCCTTGGGCTGGGCTTGGGGAGTAGAAGAACTCCTAGAACCCCATCAAGCAGGTATCAAGCAGAAGACTTTTCAATGCTAGCCATCCTTTAATGATGTTCAAATGGAACTTTGTAAACACCCACAAAGAATAACTATTTAACCTGGCTGTAATTCACAATTCACTATGAGCAGCAGTGTCTTAACAGCCTGTTTGACTAGACCACTAGGTGTGGTCGGTGACTAGGCTGTGGAGACATTGTTCCTAGAGACCACCTCTAGGTATACTTCCATCAACTGCCACAATCACCATATTCCCTCCTAATCATACACTCACCAGTCTATCTTCATTTTACTACTGTACTTCTTGAACTTTACTACAGTATTTTACCTTATTTCTGTACCTTTATCTTACCTTACTCATTAAATTTCCTATAATCATTGTACTGTATTCATTATACCCAATGTTTACATTATACCTTCTATGCTCGTTGTGTTCTCTGAATTAAGTGTACATACTCTGGAATTAATATACAGTATTCCCTCTATTCAATAGAATTTTTACATTTTTATTCTGGTTCTCCCTGAATTCTTCATATATACGGTACTACTCATTTTATTCCTATAATCATTATGCACTATATGCACTTTATATTGCATATACTACTCGCAACAGCAGTACAGTAGTACAGTACTCGGTGTACCCCCTGTTCTCATTATTCCACATATTTAATTTCTGGAGATATGCTGGACAGGGGAATACTTTTCTTGACTGGCTGCAATCAAAATACAGGATGGTTTGAATATCTCCATACATAGGGAAAATGGAACACTTGCACCTCATTATGGTATATGCATGTATCAGTGATTGGATCAGCAGTTTTGGATTCCAGGGTTGGGTGCCATGGTCCTGGAGTGGTCTCCAGGGCCCTCAGATCTCAGCCCACTTGATTTTTACCTGTGGGTAATATTGTACTTAAAAGCCATGATTTATCAGGACAAGATATGAAACCTAAATCTTTTAAATGAATGCTTCAGAATGCAATGATCATCAAATGTTTTAATGCAAGTTCATCATGAGTGGAAGAGTCACATCCTCACATGTTTTCAAAGTAATGGCAACCATGTTGCTCTTGTGCATTTTGTGAATAAAGTTACACTTTGATAAAAGGTCTTAATTTTCCCTATTTATGTAGGCCTCTATTTCTAGTTGATTATGTAATTTTTATTTGTAATTTTATTTGTTTATAAGCGTGTATATGTGAAAGTCTTGGTAATGATCTATCAGTTTGTTCAACTGTTTTATGAAGATAAATTTGGTCTTTTATTTTTGTAACCATTGTTTAATTATCTTACTAGGTAGAAGATGAAACTGTTCTTCACAATATTCCATACATGGGTGATGAAGTCCTTGATCAAGACGGAAAATTTATTGAGGAACTCATCCGGAACTACGATGGAAAAGTTCATGGTGACCGAGAAACTGGTTTCATTGATGATGAAATATTTGTTGAGCTTGTGGAGACTCTGGTGCAACAGTATCAGGTAAGTTCGTGGAGATGTCTTAAGTAGTATCAGAGAAGATGGATCTGTAGTAGTATCAAGGGAGTTGGTGGAGATGTCTGTAGTAGTAGTATCAGGGGAGATGAAGACATCTGAGGTAGTATCAGGGGAGATGGTGGAGACATCTGAGGTAGTATCAGGTGTTGATAAGAGATGTCTGTAGTAGTATTGGGAGCTGATGAAAACATGCAGTAGTATTAGGAGAGTTCATGGAAACAGCTTTAGTAGAGTATTGCGAGTTGATAGAGACATCTATAGTTGTATTTGGAGTTGTCTTTAGTAGTATCAGGAGTTGGAGTTGTCTGTAGTAGGGTGTCACAAGTTGGAGACATCTGTAGTAGAGTATCGTCAGTTGTGGAGACATCTATAGTGGTATCAGGAGTTGATTGAGGCATATTTAGTAGTATTGAGAGTCGAAGATATCTGAAATAGCAACAGGGGAGCTGATGGAGATGTCTATAAGAGTACCGGGAATTCATGGAGATGTCTGTAGTAGTAGTACAGTAGTATCGTTTGTATGTAGTAGGTGCTTTTTTTATATATATATAATTACTTGCATCTCTGTGTTTCTGTGGCAGATATCTTTAGAAGTAAAATAGTGTTGGTGAGACTGTTACTAATGAAACATATTCACAGTTTTGTATGTGTAGAAATATATAATGAAATTGTGGAAAAGTACCATTGAGAGTTTGCATAGAGCACTACAAAATTTGTTTTAATTACAGAAAAAGGAAACTTTAAAGAACAAGACTGACCAGAAGGTAAATGGGAGTAAAGATGTGAAGACTAAAGATAAAGATGAAGAGGAGGAGGAGGAGGATGTTGAAGAAGAGGAAGAGGAGGAACAAGATGAGGAAGAGGATAGTAATACACACAATAAAGAGGTGTGATGTCATCTGTCTTGTTTCATGCCCCTTTTATTATCACCACACTATTACAGTATGTTCACTATCACTATATTACAAGACGTTCACTATCACTATATTACAAGATGTTCACTATTGCTATATTACAAGATGTTCACTATTGCTATATTACAAGATGTTCACTATTGCTATATTACAAGATGTTCACTATTGCTATATTACAAGATGTTCACTATTGCTATATTACAAGATGTTCACTATTGCTATATTACAAGATGTTCACTATTGCTATATTACAAGATGTTCACTACTGCTATATTACAAGATGTTCACTATTGCTATATTACAAGATGTTCACTATCACACCTTATCCACAACACGTCTGAGTGTCATGCTCCTGGGCTCCTGAGAAACCTCGGCATCTTGATAGCATTAAGGGCGAAGCATGAGGTGTTACAGGTGATCATGCTGGGGTGGTGAGCCTTTAGTTCCAGGGTTGCACCCCTCACAACCAACCCCCTAGGATGATCCCTGCCCCCCCCCCCCCATAACACCTGCCCTCCAACTGAAAATTATCACACTTTATCATAAGATCATTATTTCACCATGTGACACGAGGTTCACTATCACACCATATCACAAGAGGTTCATTATCACACCATATCACAAGAGGTTCACTATCACACCATATCACAAGATGTTCACTATCACACCATATCACAAGAGGTTCACTATCACACCATATCACAAGAGGTTCACTATCACACCATATCACAAGAGGTTCACTATCACACCATATCACAAGAGGTTCACTATCACACCATATCACAAGAGGTTCACTATCACACCATATCACACGAGGTTCACTATCACACCATATCACAAAATCACTGGAATGATTTGAGTTTGCCTTCAGCTAAACACAATGTTGAAGTTTGTTTTCTAAGATAAGTGAATTAAGTTATGTGGTATGATATGAAGGTTGTGGTTATGCTTGCTTGGTGCAAGTGTTGTAGAAGTGAATGCTGTACACTCCCTGTTACCAATATGTCTCGTGTTACATATTAGTAGCAAGAGAGGTCATTGGCTCTTTTGCCCAATATGGCTCATCTTGCTGAAAATTTCCCATAATAACGTCAAATTATTGGTTTGCAGGATGAGGGTTGGGAGGGATCAAATTCGTCTGGAACAAAGGGTTTCCCATGTGCTGCCATATTCCAAGCTGTGTCAGCTCTTTTCCCTGATAAGGGCTCAGCCGAGGAATTAAAGGAGAAGTAAGATATATATATAGTATTGTAGCACACAGTACATACTGGTAATATTTTTTGTGTGATATAATTAATAATTATATGATTAGAAATGTGTGTAATTACCTCAGTTAAAGAAAGCCAGGCTCATGATATCCTGTCTTTATATTCTTTACTATATAGGATTTTGAGTTTACAATTTGCCGAGGCATCATGGGTCAACTAACACTTTTGCAGACCGTTAATGTATTTTACTATCTTCAGTGGCTTTTGCAGTAATCAGCGGTAAAAGCGGTAAGCCTGTCTTGAGCCCTTGAACCCCCAACCAATCCCTGAACCCCAGACGAATTGGGACGTGCCAGTCTGTAGCCCCTTATGGGAATGAGAATTTCTCTGGTCGGTCCTCATTTCTCCTTTATGGTGACAGAATTTACCCACATTTTACATGGGTATTTAAAATAAGATTTGCATCATGTATTTGCAAAAAGATTGGCTAAGGAAGTGGAAGCTGAATTTTTTTTAGATAGTATAATGTGTTATATTCGTCGGCCTGATTACTGCAGAATCACTTTAGATACTAAAACACATCAACAGTCTGCAAAAGTGTTAATTGACCTATGATGCCTTGGCAAATTGTTTTGTTGTGCCGTACTGGACTACATTTACATTTGGATTCATGTATCCCTTTACCCCTTCTAATGTCTTCAACTCCCCACCTCTATACAGTACTGATGAAATTCTTTGTTGTACTGTTTTACCATATCTCATTTGGATATGTGTGGGTATGGGAGTTTGCTAATGCTGAAGTGTGTGTGTGTGTGTGTGTGAATTATAGTTTAATCTACCTTTTCCAGATACATAGAACTGACTGACCCTACAGCTCTTCCACCTGAATGCACTCCCAATATTGATGGTCCCAATGCAGAGAGTGTTCCACAGGAACAGACAATGCACTCCTTCCACACACTTTTCTGTAGACGCTGCTTCAAATATGATTGTTTTCTGCACCGTAAGTGTTTTTCTTCAGTTTTATTGGTACACAAATATCATTTTACTATGCAAATTACACATGGAAATTGGTTGATATTTTTTTGGGATAGATCATTCATGTTATGTTTTCCCTTATTATATTTTCCAGATTAATAATAGTTTGAGTAATTTGCAGATGTATATAGAGCAGTTGAAGTTAGGATTTAAATATAGGTTTTTGGTATATGAATGTGTAATAAATATAGGTGAGGTGAGGAATGAGAAAATTAAAATTTTTGATAAAGTTAACAGGAAGAATCAGTTAAGACATTAAGATATAATTTTGATATGGGATGGGAGTGTAGTGTTCTAGAGATAAAAAATTGTATGGGAGCCTCACTGTGATATGAGTGTTGAGATAATGTCGTCTCTGGTTCTTGGCTTTTGCAATACCTTCCTTTTGACAGGTCTTTAGATATGAGGTACTCTAACATTTTTCAGTATGTCAGAGTCTTAGGAAAGAGCATGGTCATGAAAGATTATTATTGGTTTGAAGAAATTGTAATATAGTGTGCGATAAACAAAACTGGGAAAATGTGAAGTGATCTTAGATTTGGGGGAAAGAGGGTGTGCTAAATCATAGGGAGAAGATAAAGTGGACTTGGTGTTGTGTTGTGATGTAGTTGATGTTATTGCTGGCAGGTTGATTTATGGAATAAATTACCAAATTATCAGGTACCATAATAGACATAGGATCGCTGGATTGTTTCAAGTGCAGGTTAGATACATAAATAAGTGATTTTAGGTGGATATAAATAGAAGTTGCCTCATTTGGGTCTCTAGGGTTTCTGCAGTTCCCTTTATTCTTAGGAGATATTGTTGAGGTAGCTGTGGAACTACAATGGGTCTTTCAAAATATCTTTATGGTGACATGGTTATTTTTTGGGGGAGCCTCTTGTGGACTTCCTGAAGCTATCTTGCGGAGATGGCTCCCAGCTACTGGATCGCATCATCTGCAGAGTTCAGTTCGGGCTATTGCGTACCAGAGCTAGAACCTGGCCCCCCCCCCCCTCACAAGAGGAGCAGGAAGCAGGTGACACTACCACCTCACCAGAGAAGGCACCCAGAAAGTCAGCAAACCAATACTTACCAGTGCTGGGTTCAAATAAGATCAAAACCTCACAACCCACTGAATAAACATCCCAATAATGTAAACAAATGATTGAATCTCAAACAAGCGTGCACTTATTCGTCCCACCTGTCTCTCCTGTTTGGGAAGAGGGTGTGTTGGGGCTCACGCTGTTTACTGGTTTGAGCAGTCACCCTATGCTGATGAGTCTCATGTAGAGCGCCTGGATAGTCTGTTATCTGTTGTTGGCCTTGGTGCTTTTCAACTAAGTGCCTCTGGACCTCATGTGTGGTTTGTTTTTTTGTATACTGTTAGTATACTATGGGCCTGGTCTTTTAGAGTGCTTAGTGCTGCATGTGTTCAGGATTCCCATCCCTGAGTGCTCTATAGTGTTGCCCCTGCACTGACAAAGTTCTCTTCTCTAGTATGTTTTAAGTGTTCCTCCCTGCTTGGGGTAGTCCTTGCCTTGGGTGAGTCAGGAGTCACGATGCTCTTCTGTCTTAACACAGGTCAGGAGCAAGCTTGACTGGTAGGGTGCATTGATGGCTCATGTGCTTGTATATACAGTGTACCGGGGTTGGCCTTCACAGTCATGTAACCCAGGCTGTGTCGGCTTACTTTTAGGTCAGGCGGTGCATCCCCAGTGCCTGGGTATCCTGCATAATTTACCCTTCAGGCCCTGGGACTTCCTTGTGGGTTTGGTGTGCCAATGGATACTTTTTCCAAACCCGTGTGTAAGTTTGAGGGTTGCTTATCATCTGTGCCACAGGGTAATGATAATTCATTGTGCCTCTACCATGCTGCCTGCTGGGCCAAAGACACCTACAACCACCCCACAAACTCTGTTGGATTTGTTCTTTCCATGTGAGGACATTAAGGTGCTTGGTGCAGGTGCTTTAATGTCCACTGTGGCATCATTGTCAGCTTTGTCCAAGCTGTATGCACCTGTACTGGGGGCAGCAACCACATTCTACACTGCTTGCCTTGCTTGTCGACAGGCTATCTTAGCCCAGTCTTAGTCAACTTTGACCCTGGTCCTTTTTTGCCTCTTCTTTTTCCAGAGGATATTGTTGGTCAGTTTTTATCTCCTGAGGCCGTGTCTTGTTGGCCACTTATGGTCTTGTTTTGTTCCCATTTCGTTTCTGGAAGTGGTCAGGTAGGGCTGGGTCATCACCTGCTGTTGGACGAGGTTTGCCCATGGTGAAGCAGGATTTTGGGTCATATATTCCCGTGGCTGGTTCATCATCTGTTGGTCAGCACCATGTTCATGCTTTGCTGAGAGCTCCTGCTTTTTGTGGTTCATGCAAGTCCTTTCATGGTTCACCCCTTTGATGGGGCAGGGGGGCAGCTCGACCAATTTGCTAGCTCCTGGTCCCACGATTTGTGGGTCAATTGGTCGTTTCGAGTGGCCTGCCATGGAGTTAGTTGGTCCCTTCCCCTTTCCAGGGTTCAGGGTTTTTGTGGCAGACCTATTCCCCTCACTGGTATCAGGTCATTTCAGAGTGGGTCGCTTCTGCATGTCCTCAGTGTTCTGAAATGTCTTTCCGGTTCTGAAATGGAATCCTGGTCACTAAAATCCTGTAAATTAAAATTTTTCCACAAGTTTATATTGTAAAGTAATATGAGCTGTTGATTCAAAATGCTTAGATTGACCAAACAATGGTAGTGCTGTGGCTGCCTGCCTAACTCTGTGAACATTATGAGCAGCATTGTGTTCACTGATATCTGGATATTGTACATAGTCTTTATCACAGTCAGGGTTCTTCTATAATAGTACAAATGCAAAATAATAGCAGTCACATATATATTTTGTTATTTTTAAGCGATGCTGTTCCTTGTCTGAACTCTGGGGAAAGGGGGGGGCTCTGCTTGGTCCGCTGTCCTTTGGTACTGGATGCTGTGGGTAGCTCGTCTGTTGAATTCTTGGGGTAAGGTTCTATGCACAGTTCATGTCTGGGAGTATCCAACACTCTCATGAAGGTCTGTCCCAGTTCCTTCCTGTCTTTACTGTATGGATCCTTGATGTTGTCTTCTCGCAAAGCCTTATGTGGCTTTGGGAGGCATTCAGGCACCCTGATGTGAATCCCCTTGCATTAGAGTGGAATCAGCACCTTCCTCTTTATGCAGCTCCATGTCCCAATTATGAGGTCCTCGGTGTGGATGCTTTTCGGCTGAACAGGTCTGGGTTGGGGTTTCTGTACTTCTTTCCCTGGTTCTGCTGTTGCTTAGGGTCTTGGCCAGGTTGGAGTCCTACCATGGAAAGGCGGTCCTTCTGGCTCCTTGGTAGCCAATTCAGTTATGGTTTCAGGTGCTGTTTGCTCAGTGTTTGAACCCAGACGTTTTTTCTCGGCTCCGCCTCTTTCCCAATGATGTAGCTTTTTGTTTTTTAGCGTGTGGATGGACGAGCGCACGTCTGTTTTGAAAGATTCGGTCATTTCTTTACATTGTTGGGGTAGTTTATTTGGCAGGTTGTGAGGCTTCACTCTCCTTTGAACCCAACAGTAGTTTGTGTTGGTTTGCTGACTTTGTGCCTTCCCTAGTGAAGTGCTGAGTTTCACCTGCTTCCTGCACCTTATGTCAGAGGTGGTAGGCCTGTTTGACTCTGGTCCCCCGGAAGGCTGAACTGAACTGAACTTTTTGGCTAATGTGACCTAGTATGTACTGTAATTGGAAGCTATCTCAGGGAGATTTCTCCAGGAAACCAATAGGGCTAACTCGGGAATTGAAGTTTTATTACATTCAACATTGGCTATTCATCACAATTGTTGTATATAATAGCACCATAACAGGCAAAGTGATAGATAATAAAATTGAATATGTCTAGAAAGGTTTGTGCAAGAGGCAATTTTTTTTTTTACATTTTGGATGATAGGTTAGGAGTGATGAAAGTAAAAATGAATTACAGTATAGATTCTCTTTCTAGTGAACGTTGAATGTGTGATTAGAAGTTTTTCGTTCTAGTTTTTGTTTTGTCACTAGTTACCTACATGGTTGTTTGTATATGTGGTGAGGTGTGTAAGGGAGATGGCTGAAGACCAGTCGATGTGTGAGGCACCGAGAATGTGGGTAGGGTAGATGTATATGAAGCACACTGAGAATACGGGTAGATGTGGTGTACTAGGCAGACCAAGAAGCAGAGTATGTGTGATTTATGAGGAAGAATGAGATGATGGGTAGCTGTGTATGTGGAAGACAGAAGAGGGTTAGATATGGTGTAGGAGGCAAACCAAGAAGCGAGTGTGTGTGTAGCGTGCATGAGGAAGAATGAGAAGAAAGGTAGATGTGGTGTATGAGGAAGACCAATAAATAGATGGATATGTGTGTGAGGCAGACTGAGAAGAAGGGTAGGAATGATTTATGACAGTGCATTGAGACTTGATACATGAAGAATGAGCTAGAGATAAAAATATTACTTGGTGAGTGTTTTGAGAATTATAGAGGAGGTACAAAGTACATAAAGCATTGTGTTTAATGTGAAAGCACTGTAATTCTATTAACTATTATTATGGATGTACAGTGCTAGAATGTTAGTGAATTATTACATACTTTATTACTCATGAAATAACAAGTCATATTAATGTACCATATCACTGTAAAGATTTTTTGTCTTGGATGAGTGAGTTTGTTTATTGTATTGCATGAAGTTTGTATGACATTCATACAAATAGGTAAATTATCCCATTTCTGTACTGTTTGTTTAATTGTATGTATATTGCAAGTAATGATTGTGGTAACTGTTGGCAGGTGTTGTGCTTGTAAATGTTGCAAGTAATGTTTGAATTTGTTTGGAAATTGTATGGCATGTCATCATAATGAAAGTTTTTGTAATATAATAATATAGTAAATGGTTTATTCATGCTTCTCTGAGAGTTTATAAGAATATAAATTTTTAAAAGAAGATATGAAGTAAATTCTGATACTTCATGCATAAATTTATCATGTGGTGATTGATTTCTTTTGAGATGAAACTAGAAGATGCAAGGTGGAAAGTGCCATACAATTGTGAGGGCTTTCCAGGAGTAGGTGAAATCTTTAACCCCTAATTCGAACCTCATAGATATCTGTATCGGCTGGGATAAGAATCTGAGATGTGTCAAAAAAAGGCAAAATTATGATTGAAAATTACACAATGATGAATTTCTGGAAGAAATACTAGAACTGTGTGGGACTCTTGGATAGCCTAAACAGAAATGGTGATTGAATGCGAGACTCGATGAACGGTGAAAGCCCCGCGTGACTTGTGAACTTGCACGCTTCTGGGTTGAGGAGCAGTAGTCTTACAGTGTAATCTTCCCTACAGCCACCAAGGGAAGCACAGACGCCCCAGGTAAGGGAAAGCGAGTCTTCCCCGAGCGTCTTGCGGCCACCTTGCTAGCTCTCCCACTGTGGGACCCACTTTCCCCAGCTCCCCTGTAGGATTGTGGGACAAATGCTCTTGGTTTAACTTGGGGTTAAATAACTGGGGCAAGCTTTTTGTGGGCTATGGGAAGCTTGTTAGTTTTTATTCTGCTTATAAATAACAGATGAAAAGGTGCTGTTGCAGTGCATGTTAGCTTCAAGTTTGGCTCCTGGTTGGTGTGCCTGTGTGCTGCCTTCTGACTTGCTGGTCTCTCTCTTGGCCCACTGGTCTCATCCCAAACAAACTTCTTCAGTTCTTAACTTGATGGTCTGACCCACATCTCTTAAGTAATGACTTGCTTAAATGAGATGCTGGTAAGTTATTCATATGCTTTCATGTATTACAGGAATAAGTATAAATAATTCTGAATGTTTATGCAAGCATTTTCTTGTATGACCCTTTAGGGATAAAATGACAGCTCTTCTATCTATATTTACAATACTGTATATAGCAAGTAGGTATCATAGCAGAATAAGTAACTGTCATACTTTTATTTTATGTTATACTTTATGTTGACATCCATTAACCCTTAGACCGTGCAATACATACATATATGATTTGACAAAAAATAATTTAACATTAGTTTTTAAAACTTGCACAAACACTTTCCAATTCTTTTTCCATAATCAATATGTGAAAGTTGTAGGTCAATATTTGTTGAAATGAAGTCAAGAAAAAATAACCCCCAAAAAAAACACAAAATATAGGGATAATTATAATAATTTAGGGGATATATTTAGAATATACTTTATATAAGTGAAAAAAACCCTAATATTGTCCCTAATCATCAAAACAACCTAAAGAGACAAAGAAAATATAGTTTGAAATCAGATAAAACAAACAGAAAAAAAAATTAAAAGTACCAAGTTTTGCGAGTTGTGACTGATTTATTTGTAGACCAATTTCATTCTATCTTCACATAGTTATGAAAACATATGCATTCTCCAGGTTGTAAAGGGTACAACAAAATCACATAATAAACAAAGGAGAAAAAACTAAAATCTTAAAAAATACCCCTAAAAAAATATTCTTGGGACATGATAAAAGTAACATATATTAATTAACAGTGGACAATATATATATATATATATGATATAAAACAAATTAGATCATATTAACATAGTTATTCATTATTATTTGTGTTATTATGTATTACACATAGTTATTCATTATTATTTGTGTTATTATGTATTACTCAGCAATGATATAAAGGCACCAACTGCATATCCACTTTGTGGACACTTCTTACTACTATTGTTCTTCTTTGAGCATAGGTCAGGTGCTTGCATCTCTTTATTGCTGCATAATCCTTCAGTTCCAGTTATTAGGTGCTGTTCTCCTTATCAATAAAATGTTTTTATTTACGTTTTAATTAAATTTTCACTCTGCCAGATTATGACTGGGCATGAAATTATTAGATGTATATACAGTACAGAGAATAAGTCAGAACACCGTAACTGGAACATATAATCCCCCTTCCCCTCCAACATATGAAGTGATTGATGATGTTTTCTCCAACATATATTAAGTGATTGATGTTGTTTTGGTACATCCTCGATCCTTTTCAAGATTTTTCATGCTTCTTCATTTCCTCTTCACCTCTTTTCACCTCACCTTCCCTCTTGCCTTATATTGGCACATGCTTGTACTCTTTCTTGTCGCGACTTGATTAGGCGCCGAAACATCACCACTTTCATTTCATGTGTGGGTTGTGTTGTTATAGATGTATATAAATGGGAGTGACATTAAGCGTGTCATCTGGGTATTCCCCTTCCTGTCCACCCCACCAGTAGGCAACTTTTGCCCTCCCCTCTTCCCTGCATCAACCACCCCCTCACAATACTGCCATACACAACACCAGCACCAACATAACACAATACCAAAACACCATCACCTCTACACCTACCTCCCGACTATGATCGCCAAAACCACATATTACATCAAAACGCTCTCACAGCACCACACACACTAACACAAAATACCATACCACAAGAAAACCATGGAGAAGCTTACTACAGTGCTGTAGTGCTTGAATAAAGGGGAAGGAAAGACCTAAAGTATGTTTATGTGTAAGTGTATTAAAAAAACAAATTTTTGGATGTAACCTACAAACTTTGCCAAGGTGCTGTATACAATGTTCTGACAATTGGGTTTTTAATACTGTACATTTACACACACATTAGGTCTTTCCTTCACTTTCAAAACGACTATTCTATTAATACCATACCACCACCACACAGATCTTCACCACAGCACAACATAACCACACCAGAACACCACCTCCACAGCACATACCACATCACATGCTATACCACACAACCACCACAACTCACCACAAGAAAAATGTTAAAATTGCTAAGGGTATAATTAGTTTGGAGAAAAAATTAATAAAATTAAATTTTACATTAGAGGAAGTGGATATAATATGCCTAAATATTTTATTCGTGGTTTCAAATATATAAAATCAATATTGTACTATTAAAAGCTGGTCACTCACTTTGAAATGTAGCAGAATCATTCAGAATGACTTTTACTGTACTGTACTTTGATCCTATAAAATATGAAAGTATTTGTAGAATCCATTATCCTAGCCTGTCATTTTATCCTGGTTTAACTCCAGACTTCTTGTTTGGTTTGAGCCTTGATCTACTGGTCCAGTGTTCTCCACAGCTCTGTAATGCATAACACCTCTGTGTTCTATATCACTGCTGTAAGAGCAACACAGCTTTTGTTAAGTAGTATGCTTATGTTCAGTTTTTGAGACATCAATCAATAACATTGTTGTTTCCTGCTATTTTGAAGTAAATTGTGATTTGTTTATGAAATCCAATGTGACAGTAAAAATCATAGTTAAACTTGAGGTAATTGACACACAATCTGTAAAACTAATACTTAAATCAATGTGAAGTGTATTTTATAGTTTTCATTTACAACTAATTTATACTCATTATGTTGATTGAGGCTATTTTGATGTGCCTTTACAAATTTCTGGGGAGAACACTGGTCTAACCCCCTAAACCTGTTAGTCCATCCTTGTATGTGGTGGTGTCATCCATAATGTGGTTGTGTAGTCACTGACATGGTGGACTGTTTGCCCACATTGTGGTCTGATCACTGAAGTGGTAGTCTGGTTGCCGATGTAGTGGTCTGATCACTGACGTGGTGGTTTAATCGTTGACGTGGTGGTCTAATCGCTGATGTGGTGGTCTGATCGCCGACGTGGTGGTTCGATCATTGGCGTGGTGGTCTGATCGTTGATGTGGTGGTCTGATTGCTGACATGGTGGTCTGATCGCTGACATCATGGTCTGACCGCCAATGTGGAGGTCAGATTGCTGACATTGTGGACGGATTACTGATGTGGTGGTCAGATTGCTAACATTGTGGACGGATTACTGATGTGGTGGTCAGATTGCTAACATGGTGATCTGATCGTCGACATGGTGGACGGATTGCTGACATGGTGGTCCAATCACCAACATGTAGGTCAGATCTCTGACGTGGTGGACTGTATGTTGACATAGTGGTCTGATTGCCACTGTGGTGATTGATCACTGACATAGTGGTCTGATTGCCACTGTGGTGATTGATCACTGACATGGTGTTCTGATTGCCACTGTGGTGATTTGATCACTGACATAGTGGTCTGATTGCCACTGTGGTGATTTGATCACTGACATGGTGGTCTGATTGCCACTGTGGTGATTTGATCACTGACATGGTGGTCTGAGTGCCGACTTGGTGGTCCAATTTCTGGTCTAATCCCTAACCTGTGAGTGACCTGTGATATTTTGAGTGACTTGCAGAAATGTCATTACAGCATTTATGACAAGATTGTTACAGTTTAAAAGTGATTTAATACAGACTTGCATCTTGTGACCTATGACCAGGGCTTATTGAGGCATAGTTTGACTAATGATTTATGCTTTTGACCTTTGACCTTCATTAATAAATGATAGTATTATTCATGCTGTGAAGATTTATCTTTGAAGATTTCCTGTCTAACATTGGATGACTTTATTATCTAATTAAAGTACTGTAATTGCAACCTTTATTTTGAGGGTGTGTGTGTATAAGTTAATCTTTTTAATGTACAGTACTTGTAAAATTTGACTAATGACGTTAACATGTATAAAGTTTGACTTGTTTAACATATGTCCTGTAACAATAACACACAGTATGGTGACTTGTGGCACATGATTGAATGACTCAGAGCTTGTATTAAATTTTTATTTTACTATGTGTAGCCTGTAACAGTGCTTCTATTCATAATGTATGGCATGAAAAATAAGACGTGTTACAGAGGACTTAGTGGCATGTAAGGTGGCCCATTAAAGTCTGGAGTGTAAGTTTAGAAAGGTCAATGTCTCAAAAGGGCCAAAGGCTAGACAAGGGAAGCAGTGATGAAATAATTAAGCTAGTACAGCAACTTTAATGCACGGGAGTGTTTGCCGTAGTATACGACGTCAGTGTGGGCGTAAGGACAAGTGTGTGGTGGATTCGGCACTGTCTGGCTTGTCCGCCATCGCACTCGCCCGGTGTCCAGGTAAGTGACAACTCCAGTGAGTATTCACCTGGGGCAATTGGCAAGCTATGTACACAGGTCTTGGAGTAACTTCACACAAAGGAATGGGCCTCTGACCAGTTCCATAGTGTCCTTAAAAAGTATGCATCATACATGTATTGCCTTAGATAATATTAACTACTCCTATTAGATTTCTACTGCATTTTGGGATTCATGAACAGTGTACCACAAATGCACTTCTGTGGGGCAGGAAATAGTACTGCTTATAACAGTGCAGGTGGTGTGCTAAAATATAATAGTCTACAAATATTGATGATAATTTATATATTATGAATACAAAATTCTTCAGAAGGTATCTTATTATTTTGTTGATACAGTGAAGGGTGTGAAGTTTATCAGTATTTGACATAGAAGTCTGCATGGTGAAGTGATGGTTAGTTTGGATTACAGGTAATGGTGGGTATCACCAACACACATTTATACTATGCATTTTCTCTTGCTGAGATCAAATCTTTCTTTTTCTATTGGTAAATCAGAGTTTTAAAGGCAGTAGAGTGATTACTCATGATTGCCCATGAAAATTCTAATTTGCAAGTGAACGAATCACTTCGGTAAAGTTCATGTTTGTTTTCTTGGGTAACCCACGCTGCAGCCTTGCATCATTGCCTTCATCGTTTTCTTTCTTCTACTTTGTTCCTTCATTTATAAATTGTCTAATTCCTAGGATGGCTACTTGGATTTGTTTACTTTTAATGCTTTCCTACTTATATACTTCCTGAGACAATAATGTACAGGGATTCCCTGACTTAACAACATCTGATCTTATGAACAGGCTCTCAAGTCCCCATTTGTACCAATTTTTATCAACAATTCTAAGGTACCCACATTATATGCTATGCTACTAATGCACTATTACAGTTACTTATTGTTACAATTCCTTACAAATTTCACTTTTTACTGTCTTCTTCATTTAGTAATTAGACCTTATTCCTGAAGCATTAAATGAAACAAGCAGGACAATTCTGCCTTGAAAGATAAATAGAAAGCATTTTTCTTGTTACTTCTTCAAATAAGTTTTCATAATTCATGAACATACACCACTTATATCATTGTGCTTAGGAAAATCCTAATTCAAGTAGGTTACTTACTAACACAATTTTTTGGAACACACTCAAATTCTAAGTTAGGGACTGAATTAACTAGCTTGGACAATCGTATAATTACTTGTTTAGGCAATTTTGTACTTGCTTAGACAATAATACATTTGCTTGCTTAGACAGTCATTCTTAGGCAGTCATACAGTTGTTTAGACAATCATATACAGTATTTGCTTGGTCAATCAGTCATATACTTGCTTGCATAGGCAATTTACTTAGGCAATCATGTACTTGCTTATGCAATCTTATTTCCTAGACAATCATATACTTAGGCAATCATACACTTGCTTAAGCAATCATGTACATACTTGCTTTGGAGATCATACACATGCTTTGGCAATCATATACTTGGGCAACCATATACTTGCTTAAGCAGTCATATACTTTCCCTACTGATACAAGAACGTTGGAGCTTTAAGGAAAGAGAGATCCCAGAGGTAATCAAATAAATGGATTTTATACGCAGTACATTAACAGTGAGAACTATGAAGATAGTGGTATTTTTTCATGGATATTCCTGCACTGGTTTAAGCCTCTGGCTGGCCTATTAAGTGCTGCTCGTTTCTGTTTTACCTAGGCGGTGTATGAGTATTTATGACTCATATGTTTGCATCAGTAAGATTATGCCCACTGTGTTTAACAACTGCTGTTAAATCTTAGTTGAAATCTTACTTGGTTTGTAATTGCACTGTGTTAGATAATGTTCCAGTGGTCTGTCAGGCATTTCTCCACAGTGCTGACATTCCTCTCATCATCTGGAACTTGTAAGGCTGGTTCTAGAATACCATGTGGATATTCTGGAACCTTGGATCAGCCTTGGATACCCATGTGTGTCTCATGCACATGTATATCCACACCTCATGCCATGTAAGTGCACTTCTGTTTTTCTACTGCTCCCTTTCATATAATGGTAGGTGTTATTTACAATTTTCTATTAACTATATGAAGGTCAAGGAAGGAACATGATAAATACAATGAAATATGCCTGAAGATAATAGAAAAGTCAGTCACAGTAGCAAGGAGAGCCAGAGCAAAGATACTAATACTTGGGGATTGTAACTAATCTGGAAAGCTGCAAATGCCGTTCCAATATTCATTGAAGGGAACAGATATGAAGCACTAAACTATAGACCAGTGTGACTAACATGTATTCCAAGCAAGATTCTAGAAAGTCATCAGGAAAAGAATTGTTGAACACTTTTGGATACAGTAGTAATTTTATATCGGGCACAACACGACTTTAGAGAGGGAAAATCGTGCTTAACAAACTTGATTGAATTCTATGACAAGTTCACTAAATTAAGACAAGAGGAGGAGGATGAGGTAGACTACATCTTCCTAGACTGCCAAAAAGCTTTTGACACAGATAATTCCCCACAAAAGAATAACACACAAGATGGAGAGACATGCAGGGATACCAGGAAAGGTACTGGATTGGGTACAGTAGTACTTGACAGACAGAAAACAAAGGGTTATAGTCTGAGAGGCTGTATCAGGCAGGAGAGGAGTGGAATTTGATGTTCCCCTAGAATCATTGCTGTTTTTAAATTTACGTAAAGGACCGAGGGGAGCCGGTCGGCCGAGCGGACAGCACGCTGGACTTGTGATCCTGTGGTCCTGGGTTCGATCCCAGGCGCCGGCGAGAAACAATGGGCAGAGTTTCTTTCACCCTATGCCCCTGTTACCTAACAGTAAAATAGGTACCTGGGTGTTAGTTAGCTGTCACAGGCTGCTTCCTGGAGGTGAAGGCCTGGTCGAGGACCGGGCCGCGGGGACACTAAAGCCCCGAAATCATCTCGTGATAACCTCAAGATATAAAGACCTCGCAGAGGGAGCGAGCTCGTACATATCCATGTTTGCAGATGATGCAAAGTTAATGAGGAGACTATGAACTGAAGAGGACTGTAGGGTGCTGTAAGGAGACCTGAATAACCTTCAGGAGTGGCCAGGTAAATGGCTGTAGGAATTCAATCCCAATAAATGTAAAGTAAAGAAGATGGGTAAGGGAGAGAGATCTGTACATTATTTAACTATACAGTACCATAATGGGAAGGCAATCAGTCTGTCTCTGGAGAACGGATCAGAGACTCCGGAGTGCAGTCTCTGTGGCATGGTGGTAAGACGCTCGCCTGGCATTCCGTGAGCGATTTGTCCTGCGTTCGTATCCTGGCCGGGGAGGATTAACTGGGCGCACATCCTTAACTGTAGCCTCTGTTTAATTCAACAGTAAAATGGGTACTTGGTTGTAAAAACGATTCTTTGCGGGGGTCGTATTCCAGGGAACATAGGATTAAGGACTTGCCCGAAGCGCTACGCGTACTAGTGGCTGTACAAGAATGCAAGAACTCTTGTATATATAAATAAAAAAAAAAATTACAAGAGAAAAAGACCTGGGAGTAGACATTATCATCCCAACAATAGTGCCAGCTCACATGAATGGAATAATAACAGCATATGCGAAGTTAGCAAACATAAGAACATCGTTAAGAATGTAAACAAGGAGGCTTTCATGTGCATACACATGTCCTTTGTGACACCATTACTTGAGTATGCAGCTCCAGCATGGAACCCACACCTGTGACGATGTGGATTCATAGAAACTTGAGAATATTCAGAGATATGCAACTGATTAGTACTGTACCAGTATTGAGAGGCCTCAGCTATGATGACAGTTGAGAGAACTCTGCCTCACAACCTTAGGGGTAAGAAGAAACAGAGGGGATACGACAACTATGTACAAGATCCTGAAGGGAATAGGTAAAATAGATAAAGTTTCCTATTTAAATTAAAAAGTAGTAGGACAGTGGTGGAAGCTAGATATATAGTTGAGTCAGAATGATGTAAGGTGCATCCATTATAAATTTTAAAGATCTAGACTGCTAGGGCTTGTTATGGCTTGGATTCTAGTTACAAGTGATTCAAGATTTGTTTCAAGTTTAGAGAGATTTTCGGTTTTTGTCACTTGATATGTATGTAATGCCTTTATGGCTCTGTTTTGTAGTTTCCATGGTTTTGATTTTTCTTTTTGGGAGTGAACAGGGCAGGGGCTCTGCAGTCTAAGTTGGGTCTGATGAATGTAGTGCTTGGTGCCAGTCTTTTGTTCAGATATAACTGCCTGTGAGTTGTTCTTCCCTTCACATACTGTATGTGCTTACCTAAGGTATTCCTCTTCTCAATCCATATTCCTTGATGTTTGTAGTCTGCTTCATATTCTGGTACTTCATTGTGTATGGTGAGGTGCATTTGCAGGTCAGATCTTGCATAGAACATAGCTTGATTTTTCAATATATATATTTGTGCCTTAATACAAGACAACTGTGTCCTATTTTGTAGTCTGTTGTGCTTTTATCTACACTTGCTATGAAGACTGGGTCATCAGCATAACTATTGAGGTTTGTGTAGGGTAACAGCTTGATCATAACAAGCTTTTACAAGATACTGAATAGAGTTTGGACTGAGAACTTTTTGTGATGTGATAATTTCTATGGTCTTGTATAAGAAAAGGTGTCCTTGGATTTATACTGTGATTTTCAGGCACTACGGTAGTCATGAACCCAGCTACGTAACTTAACCCTTGGGGCCCCCCCCCATCTTCAGTCAATGATTGTAGTCTTATGTCTTCCCAAACTACTGAAGGGAATACCAAGGAAAATTAACCAGGACTGGCCTCTTCATTGACTGAGTAACATCTCTACATACCATCTTCATCTTTGGCCTCTTCTACTGTCATACCTTTTGTTAGCTCTTAATTTCCTGTACCTGTTCTTTAGGTAATACTTCTATTAAGTTTACACAGCTTAACTAAAGGAATACTATTGTATTCTCATGTTTTAAGCATAGCTTCTGCTCCCTCTAGGATATTTAATGTGCAGGGAAGCCATCTGTAATTAGTATACAGAGCTGTATATATATATACCTGATATAACTATTATCATCAGCATTACTGTCATTTAATGTTAGTTAAAATACTGTTAAATAGATGGAGGTGTCTTGTAATCCTTTGTCTACGCTCTACAGGCTTGGCAACATCTCATCCTCGGCCACATGGGGGAAAAAGAAAAAGTCCAGAATTACGAGCTTTATCTGAGCCATGTTCTCCATTCTGCTATTTACATCTGGTGAGTATTTAATTTATAATTTATCTTTACATGGTTTGTAACAAATTAGTGGCACAAGTATGACAAATTAGTATTACAGTATTAGTACTGTATTATTATTGGCATGTTACTCGGGTTATATGTTGTGTTAGTGGATTACGTTACATGTGCTGCCAGGATATTTTGTACAGGTGAGTGCTTAGATCAAAGAATTCAGGATGTAATGTATATTGAATTAATAAATAAAACAGTGATCTATAATTTTGAGGAAAAGCATTAAAAGTGCAGAAGAATGAAGCCATAATGGGTTGGAAATTAAAGACTAACCAGGCTGCCCTCACAAGTGTGTAAAGGCTGCCTCTCAATGTCTCGCTTGTAAGATATTTACTCTTGAAGCTAATATTACAGTAGTTTCTTTAGTTCAGACTAGTTGCTGTAGTACTGTATATGATTGTAGCCTCAGTGACCCATCATACAAATGTAGCAAGTAAATATGCATGGAATGTAAGACATTGTCTACCTCATTCACAAATCCACAAATGGAGAGGTAAATGTACACACACTTGCACCCTTTCTTCTAGGGAACATCCATGACTACAGCAGCAGACTAAACACAGAAGATGAGGGGTATGTTGCCAGAGAGCCGAGATTGGATTGCAATTGTCCCCAAGAGGAGGACTGGGCTTGCACAAAACAAAGAACCTCCACCAACCAATGTGCTATTTGATGGACTGCAATCCAAACAAATGGCAACTTAGGCAACTGGATGTAGGGAAGGGCACAATTGCCTACTGTGAATAAGAAGCCATTGAGAAAAAACATAAAAGTGAGGGGCAACGGCCTTCTTGTCAGGCATCTGTATACAACAAAAAATCTGCCACATGTCCAGGGAAACCAAGGGGTTGTCCACCAGGCAGGGGTAAGCTGGGAAGTCATCCAGTGAAGTATATATTATAGAGAAGAGTGAGGGATGAAGGAAAATACAACCAGGTATTCATTGACCAGGAGTAAGGAAGAGAGAGAAGCAGCTAAGAGGAAAAAAGAGGAAAGGTGAAGGTAGTAGCAGTAGTAGGTATCCATTAGTTTTTCCATCAGGTGAAGGATGGAATCGAAAAAGAGACAGAAAATGGAGTTGTAGGGAAGAAGCAAGATCAGGGCATGGGGATAATCAGGTTCAGCAAGAAAGTGTCTAATCACACTGGTGAGAAAGGAGACCAAGTAAGTGTACATGTGACTAGAACAGCTCTTTCTTGCAAATGCCACCCTCACAAATGGGACTATCCCAAAGGGAGAATCAATAATATAAAATTATGGTACACAAATAAACAGCATTTACCCAAAATGAAGATGTAGATGATTTTGCATTCGAGGTACCACTAGGAGCCTGTGTCTACTACATTATTGTTTTATTACACTATAGAACTGAAAGAGAAAGTGGGAAATAGGACAAGAAGCAAGAGATAATACAGAAGAGGGGACTGCAGGAGCTTGGTATTATCTGCAGGTTTACTGAGAGATGGAATTGGAAGGAAAGTCAGCTAATAAAATGATGAAACTCCTAACACAGAAATTCAAAGCAGCAGCAGAACAGTTCATACCTTTCAGGAGGGAAGTGGATGAAAGAACGAATAAACCCACGGTTCAGTAGTATAAGGAGAAAAATGGGAAGACAAAAAGGCATAAAAAAGTATAGGAATAGGGGTGCAGAGGCAAATAGTGAGGCACTAAAGAGGGCCAGGAATTAATACACAAGAATCAAGAAGGCAACAAAAAAGCAGTTTGAAAATGACATGGATGGCAAACAAAAAGCCAGCCTAAGCTGCTGCACAGCTATATACAAAGGAAAACAACAGTATGAGACCATGTGATCAGATTGCAGGGACAGGGAGGAACACACTTGGAGAATTACAAAGAAATATGTGAAAAACTCAACAAGAGGTTCTAAGTCCACAAACCACAACCAGATTTGTTCCCAAGTAGTGATGACAACAGACTACCAAAAACAACATTATACAATATTAAAGTTCAAGTAGAAAAGGTAAAAAGATACCCAAAGGAACAGGATGTAGCAAAATCTGTAGGACCAGATCGGATATCACCATGTGTACTGAAGGAAGCTGCAGATATCTTGTTACCCATTTACTATTGCGTTCAACATTACACTAGAGACTGGAGAACTTCTGGAAATCTGAAAAAAAAGCAAATATCGTTCCGATATTCAAGCACTGGAACAAATATGAGGTGCTAAACTATATACCAGTGTCATTGACATGTATTCCATGAAAGATTTTTGAAAAAGGCATCAGGTAAAGAATTGTAGAACATTTGGGGGAATAAATTTTATAACAGGCACAACATGACTTTAGAGAGGGAAAATCTTGCTTAATAAACTTGATTGAGTTTTATAAAATGGTCACCAAAAAATACAAAAGAAGGAAGTGGGTAGACTACATCTTCCTAGCTTGCTATAAAGCTTTTGATTCAGTTACACTGAAAACGCAATACAAAAGGAGAGACAGGTGGGGTTAACAAGAAAGGCACTGGACTAGATAAGGGAATACTTGATGGACAGGAAACAAAGGGTCATAATCAAAGACTATATATCAGGTTGGGTAGAAGTGGAAAGTGGTGCTCCACAGGGCTCTGTCCTAGGACCAACACTTTTTTTTATGTAAGTGACCTCACAAGGGGGGGGGGGTGAGCTCAGACATGTCAATGTTTGTAGATGATGCAAAGTTAATAAGGAGAGTAAGAACTGAAGAAGACTGTAGGGTGCTTCTGTAAAAATACCTTAACAAACTTCAGGAATGGTCAGATAAATTGCAGCTGGAATTTAATCCAAATACAGTAAGTGCAAAGTAATGAAATTGGGTAAGGGAGACAGGGGACCTGTATTTAACTGTATGTACTATAAGGGGAAGGCATACACAAAACAGTAAGATAACAAACCTGGGATTAGGTATAATCCCAATACAGTATTAACACCAGAAGAATATCAGCAGCAAATGGGAAATTAGGAAACATAAAAGCGTTATTTAACCCTTGGACAGTCGCTATGGAGAAATGGTCATACCTCCTTATGAGCCAAAAATATACAGTATGGTTTTTAATTATCTTACAACTGCATGATATCGGTACAATTCATAGGAGGCTGAAGATATCAAGCAAATTATGACTTATTACCATATTTTCAAGAGTTCACACAATCATGGAGAACCTGTACCAACACTTTTAACAAATCACCCCACAGCAGCATCCTACTGTTTCATTTGATTTCATATTGTGCTTCTTGCAAGTTGTCCAATACAAACATCTTAAACGTACATGCCTTCTCCCTCTTTACAAAGTGCTTCCACTTTGCCATGTATACGTACTATAATTTTGTGTGTATTGTTTATGCTTAATTCCTGCTACCTCACTTGTTATTTTGGTACTTCTTTTTTGGGCCTACCTATCAATCAAAATTGATAGATATTGATAGATAAGCTGTTTCAAATTGAATTGAATTCTCATCATTTGTTATACACTCATTCAACTCTAGTAAAGCATCCTCCTACATTTTCCTTAATTCTTTTCAAGAATGCTAATATTATTTCCTCATTTGTCATCCTTTGCTACAATAGCCCGATGCCAAAGAAAAGATGGTCGCGACAGCATCATCTTGTTCCTCTGATAAATTGAGAGATGACAATGAATCATCAAATGATGCCAAACCTCGAAAGATCCGAAAACACGCATCTGTAGATTCTGGAAATGAAGCGAGCTCAGAAGACAGTAATGATAGCATGAGGATGAGTGGCCGGAAATCAGACAAGATCAGTACTGGATGTAAGTTATTGTCTAGAGTTTTATTACATGATTAATGCATAAGGAAGAATGTGTGTGAAGCAAGATATTAACTTAAGCTTGAAAAAGTAGTTTGCATTTCAATAATTTAAACTATTTTAAATGATTATGGTGCACTTAATTGCTCTCGGTAATTGCTTTTCCTCGAAAATTAAGGCAGTTATGATTAATAGTTTAGAAAATACAGTTGATATTGAGCATGGACAATTGATATTTGTTTTTGGGTAACCAGGTAATGAGGGACCCATTGTAATTATTTTATTATTTAGCTCAGCTTTAGTAGCTTTGGTATTTTCCTTCAAACCATTGAGAAGCTGTTATTATAGAAAAACTTTTAAAACATGAGCATGAGTTTTATGGATGATATAGATTGACAGCTGTGTGATAAATGTTTTTGTGAATAGTATTAGATTATTCAAGTTTTTGTATTTTACTAAAGTTCTTTTAATACAATAGTTATTTATTGCTCGCCACTTTGCAGGTATCGAGTTTGAGTGCAAAGCATCAATGTTGTCGGTACACAGCAATGGAAGCCTGGGCAGCGTACACCATAAACGGATGGTTGGCTCAGACTTGGATGTTGTCCGCACAAACAATAAATATGTGTACACGAAACCCATCACCCTCGACAGTCTGACAGTCAGATTAACGGATGCAACAGATCCCTGCAATCTGGGAACGTGGCTGGGCTCTGAGGCTTCGATGTTTCGTGTTTTACACAAGGTCTTCTTCAATAATTATTGTGCCATTTCTCAAGCCATCCTAACAAAAACTTGTCAACAGGTAAATATTTCATAAAATTTTGCAATATATAGTAGTATGCTTCACAACCTTCTTAAGTGTCTTATCTGCATGAGAATTTATCAGCAGGCCAGTCTTGTAATAGGTTTATTATAGATATGTAAGATAATTTTTTTCCCAGTTTGTGCGGTATATGGTAAAATGACATTTTGTTGCAGCTCGAGATATTCACGAATGCACTTTCGGATGATGGGGGGGGTGAAGGAATGTTTTGTTTCAGAACATATATCAGAACCAATTTAATATAATTAGAGGGGGAAAGGCAAGGGGCTGTATCTCATAGTGACTTCACCCTCTCCCTCATTCCCCTTTCACTGCAATTGCAATTTTTCATGAAAGGGTGAAATTAAATCAGGGGTTGTGTTTTCCATAGACTTTTTATGCTTACTCCCACTGTTTACTTGTGCATTTTTATGATTTGCTTGAAAATTATCATGAATTCATTTGGGTTGCAGTATTAAATTTCATGAGACACACACACACAGACAGAGATAGACCAGTATAGAGAGGAGACATAAAGGGGGGGGGGAAGGGAACAAAAAGTAAGAGGGGGAGAGAGAGAGAGTGGAGGGAGGGAGAAGGGGGTGCAAAGGGAGGGAGGGAGATGGAGAGGGGGATATAGAGAGGGAACATCACTTCATCAGCGATCATTCATTATTAGGCGGACTAACATCTGGAACTTGTTCGCTCATCAGGTTCATACACGGGAGATCATGTCAACTGACCACATGTAGGCTCTGGCACACAGTTGGCTACAGGCTCATCCTGTTCCTTATATGATTGCTACCTAATGTTGTTAATAAATAAAGTTTATACATATTGATGCATATAATAGGCTCATGAAATAAATGGGTCTCTAGGAGCAGGTTTCAGATGAGCTGAGATAGGATGACAGCTCTTGCTTGCAGTTTTACTAGGTACATCAATTGATACCCTTTATGAACCCTAATCTTGGTTAAAAAAAAAAAGTGGGAGGGGGAGAGGTAATAGAGTGGAGGATATTTGGAAGGGGGGAAGAGTGGGTGATAAGAGGGGACAGATGGGGGAGAAGGGAGAGGAATGAGACTGGGGGAGAGAGTTTAAAGGAGAAAGGGAGAGCAGGACCCAAGCACTGCCAGGTACCTCATCTAGTTATAATAAAAATTAATGCATGGTGCAGTGTTTTTTATTACTATTTTTGAATAATCTAACTGATGGCTTTAATGTTGCAGGTATACTACTTTGCACAAAAGGAAGCAACTGATTTACCAGCAGATGCCAGCGTTAAGGACAATACTCCTCCCCGAAAAAAGAAAAAGAAGCATCGCCTCTGGTCTATGCACTGTAGAAAGATTCAGGCATGTTACCATATTTACTGTTTGCAGTTTTATATTTTGTGGAAATGTTCTTCAAATAGGAAAGTTAGAACTCTTTTTTTTTTACAGAACAAACTTGCTTGCTCTAATCATACCAACTTTATTAGTAGTGTTATGTTAAAAGAGTATTATAATAATAATAATACTTACTGTGTTCACATACAAATTTAGTATATTAGAAAAGTGGAAAGATGTATATGTGTGTGTGTGTGTATGTGTATGTGTGTATATATATATATATATATATATATATATATATATATATATATATATATATATATATATATAGATATATATATAATATATATATATAGGCATATATATATATATATATATATATAAGCTTATATATAAGCTTTAAGCACCTTTTTGCATTATTATTTTTGTATCAACCCATGTATATCTTGTAACCATCAAATGCATAATAAAGCACAAAAATATAATATATATATATATATATATATATATATATATATATATATATATATATATATATATATATATATATATATATATATATATATATATATATATATATATATATATATATATATATATATATATATATATATATATATATATATAATATATATATATATATAATATATATATATATATATATATATATATATATATGTCGTACCTAGTAGCCAGAACTCACTTCTCAGCCTACTATTCAAGGCCCGATTTGCCTAATAAGACAAGTTTCCTGAATTAATATATTACTATAATTTTTTTCTTATGAAATGATAAAGCAACCCTTTTCTCTATGTATGAGGTCAATTTTTTTTTTATTGGAGTTAAAATTAACGTAGATATATGACCGAACCTAACCAACCCTACCTAACCTAACCTAACCTATATTTATAGGTAAGGTTAGGTTAGGAAGCCAAAAAAAGCTAGGTTAGGTTAGGTAGGTTTGGTAGACGAAAAAACATTAATTCATGAAAACTTGGCTTATTAGGCAAATCGGGCCTTGAATAGTAGGCTGAGAAGTGCGTTCTGGCTATTAGGTACGACATATATATATATATATATATATATATATATATATATATGATTAAGGCACAACTCTCCTAAACACGAGAGTGAAGTATAGAACTTTAGAACACTTTCCCACCAGGAGACTCGAACCCTAGCCAGCACAGAAGCCTTCCAGCAACTGGCATAACAGGTACGCCTTAACCCGCTCCACCACCCGCTCAGACCCTTAAAAGAGATGGTAATTTCGGAGTATTTAAATACACCAAAGATCACCACCTCCCAAGAACTTGCTCTAGTGCTCTTGGGAGGTGGTGATCTTTGGTGTATTTAAATACTCCGAAATTACCATCTCTTTTAAGGGTCTGAGCGGGTGGTGGAGCGGGTTAAGGCGTACCTGTTATGCCAGTTGCTGGAAGGCTTCTGTGCTGGCTAGGGTTCGAGTCTCCTGGTGGGAAAGTGTTCTAAAGTTCTATATATATATATATATATATATATATACATATATATATATATATATATATATATATATATATATATATATATATAATATATAATATATATATATATAATATATAATATATAATATGGTACATATAACAATAATACTGTACTGTCAATGTGAAGTCCTAGTGAACATAGGTGTAAATTTAGTTATTGTTAATCTTTTTCATATTAGAGTGCCAATAAGAGGAGGAGGCTATGTATTTACTAATATAAATAATAAAACCAGTGTTGAATGTAATGAAATGCCAATTTCTGGGGTGAGACTTGGTGACTTCTGAAGCTGTTACACTGATTTGGTGTCGTACTACTAGGTGCCATCAGTTGCAGAGTTCTTATTGGCCTACTAGCAACCAAAAGCCAGAACCTGGCTCCCCTCAGAGGTGCAATCCCATACCATCTGATTGTTGAGGTAGGCCAACACCCGAACACCCAACAACTAAAGATGGGCCATTGTGACTCAAGTAAATCACACAAAAACACTGTGCCAAATTCAGCCTAAACGGGAAAGCCCCAAAGCCTATTTCAGCCTTTGGGTTTGGGAAAACTCAAAGCAGAAATACAGAAAATAAATGTTTGGGTGAGGGCGATTGTAAAGAATCTGCTCTCTGTGCTTCTTGTGAGGGGTGGGGCCAGATTCTGGGTGTGGTCTCTGGTTAGCTAATAAGGACTCCTGGGGCTGATGTGACTTGTGTGTGTAGCTAGCTTCCTATGTACTCAAATTAATAAAAAAAAGGCAGGCAATTGCAGGAGCCCTGTAATGTGATTGACATTTTCATGGACTCAGCATTACTTTTAAATTTGAATTGGCACTTCAAGTTTTCCACAGATGATTGGAACACGAGCCTATCTCTTGAGAGTGACGGGAGCAGTTTAAGGGTTAATGCTAGTGAACCAACTCATATTGACTCGCCAATGCAAACGCCCACATTTATCGGTTTATCTCTTTAATCAGCTTCTGAGTATTTTAATTTCCATTGGCATATAAGTTATAGTGATTTTAATAATTTTCTGTCATTATCTTCCACAATCTTTCGGTCCTCTTTCTTCCTCCAATTTTATCATCGATCAAAATTGCCACCTTTTCCTGTACAAACTTGAATTTCATACACAAGTATCTTGAACTGTGAAAGGAAAAGTTATTTATGCTCCATACAATGCTTTATTCATTAATAGTATATTGTTCAATCATATTCTCTCATTCTTTATCTTCATTTCACATAAAACAAACATTACAAATTTCCTTAAAATGTTACAATATTTCTATCTTCTGTGGCTAATTTTAACATTTCAAAGAGCCTTATGACCCTCTGTTCATTTCCTGAGCAGTTTCAGGCCCAAGATCAGAAAGTATTTATACAAATATGTGAAATTTTGCCATTACCTCCATCAGCTGAAGAAAGACACATCAAGCAACCATGTGTACAACTACTCTCCTTGCGACCATCCCAACCAGCCCTGTGACCAGAACTGTGCTTGTGTCATGACACAGAACTTCTGTGAAAAATTTTGCAACTGCAGTCCTGACTGTAAGTACAGTACATGTCTTCAGCAGCCTTAATTTTTGTTTATTTCTCAATAAATTATTGGGACTGCAATGGAGAAAAGGTAATGTATGGTCTACTTTTCCTCTGATGCTTCGTATAATGCTATCTTATGCATGTGATGAGGTGGGATTATTGCACTTAAGAGCATGCAATGATAATGACAATGACACCATAATTGGGAAATAAGCATGATCATGTTTGCTCTTTTATAGGATTAAAGGATGATGAGTAACAAAAATCACCTTCCCATGAGTATCAACTCATACAATATTGAGTAAAAAAAAAAAAAAAAAATGTACAGTATATTAAAAATTAACTTGATCTGACGTCTAAGAAATGGGCTGTATTAGGAATTGACTGATATAGTATTCACAAATGAAGCCACAAAAGTGGCACTCTTATCCAAGAAGAGCAACTTCTACACACAACAGAATACCAAAATGTGTTATTGCAGAGAGACATGACGAGGAAAGTGAAACAAGGCAGCGGAAGCAAGGAGAGGCAAGGGATTGTGGTGAACCACAGGCCTCAATAACTTTATTAAGGCCTGTGGCCTTAATAACGGGATTAAGGAACCGCAGGCCGACAACCCCAGAGAAAACTGGAACAGAGGATTAGACCCCTAGTCCCTAACATCTTCAACATGCAATAATTCCATAGAGCAACCTCCTACGCTAGTGGAATTGACATCAAGGGCAAATGAGACTGGACAGAAGAAAGTTAGCTTCAAAGTAATGTTCTCAAACATAGATGGGATTACAAACAAAGCAAGTGAACTTGAGGAAAGAGCACAAGATAACCCAGATGTAATAGCACTCATAGAAATTAAATTAGTGAATCAGGTGTCATAACAAATGCATTGTTTCCCCAGGACTACAATGTAGTAAGGAAGGTGAGAGGGAGGAGTGGCCCTGCTGATTACAAAGTACTGGAGTTTCAAGGAGATGAATATCCAGGGCTGCAAAAGGTTCAGAGACTACATATCAAGCATCATGACAATGGGGGGACCAAAGATAGTAGTAATATATAACCCTCCAATAAGTGATGGAGTGATTCCTGTTGCCAGTAGGAATCAGTCCAGACTTCTAATCAGGGTAGATTTCAACCATGGAAGAGCCAAGAACATCGTGATTACACAGAAACATTGAGAGTTAAACTATTGGATGTGGCAACAAGAAACTTTTTAAGCCAATATGTCAGGGACTACCAACCTGTTGATGATTTTGAGGATCAATGTTCCCACATTGCTGGTTGCTGGTCTGATCAACAAGGCTGTGTGCTGCAGTCGCTCACAATCTGAATAACCTTTGGTTTTCACCTCTTCCATCTTTTCTTGTGAGGCCTTGTGGCCTCAGTTTTTCAGATGGGTCCTTTGGTGAATGATCCTTGGTTTCTCTGGTTGGGGGTTAATTAGTTCCTTGGCCATATGGCTGCTGATATTCCCTCGCAGGACACTCAGGGGACTTACTCTTGGTTAGTCAAATGTTTATGGTTTGTTCTTCCCTAGCTCAGTTGTCTTTGACTGTCAAGCTTGTAGTTCTTTGTGCCTGCCGGATGAACAGTGGAACCTCAAGGGACGAGAGGCTCCAGTTACGAGCATTTTGAGTAACGAGCAAGCCACTTGCAGAAAATGTCTCCACTGATGAGCTTTCGCTTGATTAACGAGCGTTCCCGCTGGTTCTCAGACACCTCCAATGACAGTTTTGTTGTTGTTTCACAAGACGAATTTTCCGCATGACTAGCTCGGTGCCAGAACGGATTAAAGTTGTTAATCGAGGCGCCACTGTATTTCCTCAGGCATGCAATGTCTGCTGGTTTGTGGTTTTGTCTACTTTTTTGTAGGAACTAGTTGTAACATACCAGTAGAATTGGACCAGGTATCACCATGGTTGCTGAAAGAAGGCTGCATGGATTCTGTGCATTTAACAGTTTCATTTAATGGTCGTTGCAGGAATAGTTCTGCTATAATCATCCAGGAAAGACCAAAATGTTGTCATTTCTTTTATTTTCAGATGTGTAGGTTGGGTGTCTAATTTTCTTCCTTGTTTTGTGACTTGAACAATTTAGTAAGTCATTGCTTGCAAATCCTGTAATCACAAGCATTAATATGTTCAAACCTCAAAAAACAATGTTTAGTATTGATATTAGTCTATGGTTTCAGTGTTAGCTAAAAAGTCAATATTAGCTAAAATATTGGTATTGGCACATTTCTTGTATATACTGTACATGACATTCTACAAAAAGCACTATGCCCAAGACTGAGCTTAGGGAATAGAAGAATGTTTAGAACCCTCTCCAGGTAAACTATATACCTGGTCATGTGTAGCAATTAGGGGCTGCTATAGATGATTATTGAAGAGGGGGGTTTATTTTCATGATACTGTACTATGGCATATGGTGAGAGTAGTGTATTGATTAGATGAGTGATAGTTGGAATTTTGTTGTTGTTGTTCAATTTAACCTTTTACTATATATTTGTTTTTTCCTGTTGGTATACTCATTATGAAACATTATAAATACTGTAATGAACTTCAATGTTTTCAGGTCAAAACCGCTTTCCTGGGTGCCGGTGTAAGGCATCTTGTAACACGAAGCAGTGCCCCTGTTTCTTGGCAGTGCGGGAGTGTGATCCTGATCTCTGTGTGACATGTGGCGCTCATGAATTTTCAATAAATAAAATCACCTGCAAAAATGTGTCTGTTCAGCGAGGATTACGTAAGATGCTATTTTTAACACTTCTCTGTTGATGTGTGTCATGACAACTGGAATGCTCTGTGTGTTTATAATAATGCATGTAAATTATTATGATTGTAGTGGGGTCAGTAAAGATGAACTATTCTAGCAATGTCTTCATACAATATTAAAAACATTCCTGTAAGTCACAGCTATTATGATATTTCTGGGGGAACCCTTTGTGGCTATTATGATATTTCTGGGGGAACCCCTGGTGGCTCCCTGATACTACCACACACTGATATAGTGCCAGACTGCTAGGTACCATCAGTAGCAGTTCTTATCAGCCTACCAGGAGCCAGAACCTCATCCCATCAGAGAGGTGGAGGGAGCAGTGGCACTATAATTTATAAAGCCCATCAATTAATGTTTGAGATATGGTCTCATCCATTTTTATAGGAACATTATGACACTTTGTTCGGACCAAACTCTGACGGACCAAACCTTTGGGAAATGCCGGCTAGGTCTGTTGGATATTTAACAAAAATGTTTGGTGAATGCATTTTTGCCCATATTTATAAATAGAAGTAAAGGTTCTGGTCCAGGTGACATTCTGAAATAATTGTGTTCAAGCAGGAGTAGTATACAGTAGTTTAGCTTACCCTGATGCATGTGTGGAATTTGAAAGGATTAGCTACCAAATGTTTGCGTTTTATCTTCATTTTACACTGCTGGACTGTTCCGTCTCTAGGATTGCAGAATCATGTAAAATTTGGATTTTATTTTATTTTAAATAAAGGTATTATAATTGTTTATCTTGTACACTTTATGTGAGAAGTTTGATTAACATTGGTTACTTTTTGGGCAGATAAACACCTTCTCATGGCACCATCAGATGTGGCTGGCTGGGGTATATACTTAAAGGATTCGGCCCAAAAAAATGAATTCATCTCTGAATACTGTGGAGAAATTATCTCCCAGGATGAGGCTGATCGTCGTGGGAAAGTCTATGACAAATACATGTGTTCATTCCTCTTTAATCTTAATAATGGTGAGTTTAACTTCTATGAGGCAGAGATAAAGCAACGTGTTTGTGTTATGTATGGGATTCCCTAGTAATGTGTGTACGATGTACAATGTTATATTTGGAAGCATCAGAAATTTATTTGTATATTGAGCTGGTGTAGAGGAAAGAACAGAGTGAGAGGGTATTGGAGTAGATAATCAATAGGCTGGGGTCAAATTACAGTCTCCAGACAAGGTGAACAGCAATAAACATGTCAACTGGAATATCATGTGTTGGAGAGGGAAGGAGGAACTGACAAGGTATAAAACTAGAACAATTTATATAACAATGATCAGCTTAAGGCTGAGACACACCAAACTGGCAGCACACAGCTGGAAGTACGGGACAGACATTAATGAACTTTCATCCACTGTCATGTTCCAGAAATAATTGAACATCCTTCATTCCACCTTAGAATACCTTTTAACATTAAGCAATCGAGCATATATTAGGTGACCTCTCATTATATATAAAATTTAAAATAGTCAGACCACTGACTAAATATCTCCAGTCAACCAACAAATTGGGTCACACTTGACCTGTGCATATACCTCGTACCACTGATAGTCAAACATAGAAAACGAATGCCTCGCCACACAAACAACAATGATCAGCTGACACCATAACGTCCCACCCTCCATCACATCAAGTCTCCCTCCAACACACACACACCTCTTTAGTTGCAGCTCTTTTATCTACATCTAAACAAAACAAACAAAACTCTTCGAACCTCATCATTCTCAACACTGACGCGTCTCCCAGCATTAGTACTTGTTCAGTCATCAGGAGGATAAATCCCTTCATATATATTATATATATATATATATAAATAAAATAGCTCATAAAATATCGTGTTCAGTGAGAATCCACAAGGTCTTCTCTGAATACTCTTTATTTTCTTCTCCGAGGCTACGGGTCCCTACAATTGCACCAGAGGTGGTACCTCTGGTGGCAGTCTGAGAGCATGTATATAAATTGTTTTAGTGGAAATTACCAATGCCTTGAACAGTCCCTGCTTTTAGAAACATGAAAATGTAAATTTATTAATATTTTCAGAATGTTTACAGTATATTATATACTTACACAAGTTATGTTCCTATTAAAGCAAGCAACTATTTCAGACTTTGTGGTTGATGCAACACGTAAGGGAAATAAGATCCGGTTTGCTAATCACTCTATAAATCCCAACTGTTATGCCAAAGTCATGATGGTGAATGGTGATCATCGCATTGGCATCTTTGCCAAAAGGCATATCCAGTCGGGCGAGGAACTCTTCTTTGACTACAGGTATGTTTTGTATTTTGTAACCCTGATTTTCTGTGTTTAAATTATATTATCAGAATTCAAATGTATGTTGAATATGGGAAACCAGAAATATATTAAATACTAATGCAAATGCAGTGAACATTCTACAGTATTTGCACGTAATCTATTAAGTATGAATGAATTTGTAAAGTAGTACATACCTTGTTGTGTTTATGGATGGTTTCATATAGTTGTACATACCTTACTGTGTTTATGGATGGTTTCATATAGTTGTACATACCTTACTGTGTTTATAGATGGTTTCATATAGTTGTACATACCTTACTGTGTTATTGATGATTAAGGATAACCTTCGGCTCACTTCTATCAGCAACTGGGTACTTGATGTAGTAATCGTCCAGAATATCTAATGCTCCTTCATATCTGCTCTTAACCCTGCGCTGCACAAGGGATTACATTTGGCATTGTCTGTGTTCACAAATAAAAATAGCATTCAAAAACAAGGTTTTTGTCTTTATTCTCAAAAGCAATGCACTGAACATAGGAAAATGTCCCAAATATAGTAAATATTTTTCAAAATGTCACATGCTTACTGGAGATCTGAAATACCAAACAGGAACACCATGTACCAGTATGAGTTTCAAATGTTGCAAAATACCCAAAACATCTTAGGATGTTAGGTGCACGATGGGTCAAACATCTTAAAATGGTATACACATTTCAAAGGTTAATTTGTAAATATAGGTGGCTTCAACTGCTCCAGCTCCCAATTTATTGTATGTTTGTTTTCTTTATAATCTTTATCATATGAAATTTTAAAATTTCCAATGGTGATGGCACACATTGCTCTCATTTAATTTATTCCATCCATATGAAAAAAAATGGTTTTGAATTTTATCAACACTTTGATTTTGAAAGGTGTTATTCCTGTTAGGTTTTACCTTCCTTCAAATGCCTATGGCACCTGTGGAAGCTTTGTGGCACACTGGTTGAAAAAGGGCTGCTCTAGACAATTCATTTGCAAACAATTTGACACCTAATTATATAGTTATAACCCAACAGAAAACTTAAACCAAAAGGTTGTAAAACTATTTTGCATCGCTGAGTGGCCCACGAGCATAAAATGTTCCATTAAGAGGAACAGTATGGATAATGTTGCTAAGGCTATCATGCTAAAATATTACTTCCAAATCTAAAACCATTAAAAGTAACTTTATATAAAATGAGTTAAATAATTTGAGCACGCTCTAAGATACCCTTGTTTTCATTATTTTTTATGTACTGTATTTTTGTATTGCATTCTATGCTCGATCTGAGCCAAGTGGTCCCAGGTGTGACCTTAATGTAAATTACACTTTATGGCCACTAGAAACATGGCAATCGACTCCCATTCTTCTTACCACTTTCTCAAATAATTAGATTTCTTAATTAAATTGATAACTTATCTATAGTAAAAATGTAGTGAAAAGGAACTAGTACAGCATATATCCTTGCAAATCGATTATTATAATTTGATGGTAATGACTATTGTTACATTTTTCAGATATGGACCAACGGAACAACTCAAGTTTGTCGGCATTGAAAGGGAAATGGAATTTCTGTAAAAAAAAAATATTTGTCAGAATTATATATCTTTGAAAATAATTTGTTTACCGAGTACCAGCTTCCATTTTTTAATTGAAGCTTTAACCAATTCTTAAGTAACATTACTAGTATGAGTGGCCGAGTGCACCACACTGGATCTTGTATAAGATCTTTATCTTTTACTCAAATTTTTTGTGGTGGAACTTCCACAATAGTTAAGATTTTATATTTTATTTATTTATATTTTATATTCTTTTTGTTAATTTTAACACTGCCACTGATAGTGTCATGGAGGGGAAACACTGCCACTGATAGTGTCATGGAGGGGAAACACTGCCACTGATAGTGTCATGGAGGGGAAACACTGCCACTGATAGTGTCATGGAGGGGAAACACTGCCACTGATAGTGTCATGGAGGGGAAACACTGCCACTGATAGTGTCATGGAGGGGAAACACTGCCACTGATAGTGTCATGGAGGGGAAACACTGCCACTGATAGTGTCATGGAGGGGAAACACTGCCACTGATAGTGTCATGGAGGGGAAACACTGCCACTGATAGTGTCATGGAGGGGAAACACTGCCACTGATAGTGTCATGGAGGGGAAACACTGCCACTGATAGTGTCATGGAGGGGAAACACTGCCACTGATAGTGTCATGGAGGGGAAACACTGCCACTGATAGTGTCATGGAGGGGAAACACTGCCACTGATAGTGTCATGGAGGGGAAACACTGCCACTGATAGTGTCATGGAGGGGAAACACTGCCACTGATAGTGTCATGGAGGGAAACACTGCCACTGATAGTGTCATGGAGGGGAAACACTGCCACTGATAGTGTCATGGAGGGGAAACACTGCCACTGATAGTGTCATGGAGGGGAAACACTGCCACTGATAGTGTCATGGAGAGAAACTGCCACTGATGGAGTGTCATGGAGGAAAACACTGCCAAAAGTTTGTCCAGTGTCACATTTACTTTAAAACACCATTTGGTGGTCGGTCACATTTACTCAACTTATACATTTTACAGTCAAATTTACTATGTATTTTACTTTTCTTTTTGTCTCCATGTAAATTCAATCTTCAGTTTTTCTCTTCATTTTTGTTGTCGAGGGGAAACAAATAATGTCTGTCTTGTGTGCAGTCCAGTTGAGAATGTACAGTTCCTCCACTTTGTTTCAAACACTCCTTTGAAAGTTGCTGAATTGCTGTATATGAAATATATTCTGCATGAGGCCACCCTTTCAATGATAGTGTTCTCAAAGGTAGCAATTCATTTGGAATGTAGAATAACATGATTTTTGACAAAGAAGCCTTTGGCATAACTTTTGTCTGACAACATACTGTACCTTGCGGTTACCTTGCAATGATTTCAGGGCTCAATGTCCCCGCGACCCTGTCCTCGACCAGGCCTCCTCGTTGCTGGACTGGTCAACCAGGCTGTTGGATGCGACTGCTCGCAGCCTGACATATGAATCGCAGCCTAGTTGATCAGGTTTAAATCAGTATGTATTAAATTCCAATTCCATGGAACACAAGTCATTGCAGATCCATCTTCTAAGACTAGCATTGATGCATCTATTGATTATTCAAGATGATCAGTCGCCTAAATTCCACCAGAAGAACATTTTACTATAGTTGGAGTAAACTTATTAGTGCATAATACTGACATGTGTTAGGGAAAAAGAGTTTTGATATCCTCAAATGTAAGGAATGAAGCTTTGTCAAAAAATAATGTTTTATTCTAACTACCTGACAAAACCTTATGGGAAAAATTGTTGGATATATATATATATATATATCTGTTGAAGGAGCCATTTTGTAATGTATGTCACCAAACACCTTTTCAGTTGACTTATTTGTAAAAATATATATCTATTCTAAATCTGAAATGTAGATGCTGATTTAGTGTTTCTGGTCATTGTATTATGATGGAAAATGCAAGATTTACCAATAAAGTTGTTATTTAAGACTAATTATCTAAGCATTTACCTATAGTACCAATATTCCTTCATCAGGGTAACAATTCTCATTGTGTATCATATTCAATGCAGAAAGTATTTAACATTTTAATGCTTTCACATTCTGATGACACTAAAACACATCATCCGTACTCCTATAGACATGATGCTAAAATGCATCATCTGATTGGTATTCATAAGTGCTTATGAATTAATCATGTATGGCAATATGTAAATAGCCAGAAACATTTCCCACTTCTAATTTCGATGACAGGAGGATGACCAACAAGATAGGTCACATTGGATAGTACAGTATGTAATTCATAATAGCCAATCATCTCTACAGTGATTGTGGGTTGTGTTAAAATCCATGAGGATTTTAGATGCAGTGCCAATATGAGTGGGACCCTAGCAAAAGTTGAGGTTGGTTTTTCAATCACTGTGAGAGTCATCTATGAAAACAAAAGATCATTGGTACATGAGAAGTATCTCTAGGAACATACATGTTGCATAAAGCTTCACACTAAAAATACTCTTCTTTGGAGGAAGCTGGCACAAGAAGGTTTTAGCAGGGAAAATGATGGGAAAGCCAGTGCCAACAGTAAATTTTGACCAATCTATAAACAAGAGGCGTGTGAATGGCAGGGAAAATGTAAAGGAAAAAACATCATGACAACATGGGGAATGGAGAGTAGGTAAAAGCCTTTACCATACAAATAACCATTTTACAAGTGAGACTCATGGGGATAACACATGACGAAGAATATATTATACATGTATATACAGTATATGTGTATATATTCTATACACCGTGGCGGTGTATAGAATATATACACATATACATGTATATATATATAATACATGTATATGACACATATACATGTATATATACTGTATAAAATATATATATATATATATATATATATATATATATATATATATATATATATATATATATATATATATATATATATATATATATATATATATATATATATATATATATATATGCATGCAGCAGGTCCCCCCTCTCCACTTTCAGCGCCGTGGAGAGGGGGGGACCTGCTGCCTGGGTAACAGCTTCTCCCCCGAATCAATCTACCCTGGCTTTGCGCCCTGGTAAGGCCACTCCTGGCCAGGCCGACACCAGAGTGCAACTCCATAGTCTCCTGAGACTGATGGATGCCTACTACTACTATATATTCTATGTCTGATGTGCAGTCGTTTGTGTAATGAGAGCATTTTCCAAATTTGATGTCTTCTGCACATCCGTTCGAGGTATAGTTGAATTCTTTACATCTAAAGCATTGAGCTGGATGTGGCATATACATCTCCGGTATATGAAGAAAAAAGTTTAACCTACTTGAAGAGAGGAAAGTAGTTGAGAAAGGTAAGTCGGGCAGTGCCTGTATCACTCGGTTCTCCGTATGTTCTACACATAATTGTTTTGACTCCATAAATTGGAATGCTATCTGCTTGAAGATGTGCTGTGATTCCTTCTTCACTAATTTCTACAACATGCTTCATTACAAATTTTGTTAATGTATCACCTAATGGTACATAGCACCATGAATACTTTGTATACATCGATGTCAGTGATGTCAAGTGACTGGTGCAAGAACTGAACCCTGTGGTACTCGACTCGTGACATTTCTCCACATTGTGCGAAACAGTGGTTGCCAGGATCAGGTTGGGTTACCGTTACCTATGGCAGGTGGCTACAGATGACGCATCTCCCAATCCTGAACACTCCAGATACAAACTCCGTGAGCTCTGAAACTGGGACATGATTTCACACACTTCATCACCAATTACCCAGTTATTAGACCATTCAGACCCGATGACATGAGGTACCTGGAGCTTTGCGGTTATTTTATTCACTCTCGTGTTCTTGAAGATATCCTCATGATGCACCCAAAATTTGCCAGCGCAGACTACTGAATATATGGCCCTGTATGACTAACCATCCTGTGTGATAGGGATTTTTAGCATCACGTAGCTAGTTTTTGACACACTCCGTACTCCCCTTTATATGGTCTAGGGCAGTTGCACACATGCACATGTACCTAATTGTGTTAATACAAAAAAAAACAATCTGTTTACCTCCAGATGCTAGCGGCGCTTCGCCTCTAATCTGTTTACTTCACTATGATAGTTACTGTCTAGGAAAACACCCTCTTCAGAGGGCGGAAGACCATTATTATCAGAATGCTTGCCATGCAACAAGGATTTCTTTATGTCAGTGGTATCGGGGTTGTGAGTGGGAGAGACGCTGTGCATCTCCCCCAGTCGTCGCCTTATTGGTCCCTTCTGCCCAGCTTGACTCCTGTATAATTCCTGTGTATGAAGTATACACGCAAATATAGACAGGTTCCCAAGGCCTGATGTACAGCTGGCCGATGGTGTCCCAATCCTTGAGTTCTTGAGTTACCAGACACAAATACCTGCTTATTATATGACTATACGACAATATACAACATATCACACGAATATTTATACACTCTTATAATACCGTATCAAGGATATCTTTCCAGTATTGTCTTCTCACACAATTCATTACAAACTATATTCGAATTTTTATTCTACAATACCAAATAAAACTGCTGGGAATAATATATGGGAACTTAAAGTTAGCAACATGGCGACGTGATCCCAAAGTGACGGCGTTGTCTCTTCAGAGACGGCGAGTGTCGGCCGCTTTCCTTCACACAGCCTCCACACTTGTACAATACAGACGATGAGTCACAATAACGTGGCTGAAGGTACGATGACCAAACCACACATCAGAAAATGAAGACACTGAAGACCAATCGAACACGATGATTCGAACCTGCGTCCAGGAGCATCCCACACGCTGCCCCCGGACGCAGGTTCGAATCCTCGTCACGGCCCTTGTGGATTTGTTCATTAGGTGTATCACGCGATTGTGATTTCTGTGTGTAACCAATCGAACACGTTTGGATGAATCCCGGCGGTGGTGGTGTTTGGTCGCCACTGGTGCTGTGTCCTTTACTTTTGCATATCTTTGCTCTCAGTGAGCAAAGTGAGTGCATGGAAAGTGACATCCTGAAGACCATTGACTTTAAGCCAGTAATAAAGCAATTCTCCGAAAAAGAAATGCGTCAAATGCTTGTTATAATAAGATCGTACTAATTTCATGCTGTGCCATCTAATCTGTGTGTAGCCTATTGAATATAACTGGTTTTTCAAGCCTTGTGTATTGTTCAAATGTTTATCATGTTGATTAGTTGCTGCTCTACAGCATGTTTTTAATGTTTTAACACTAGTTTTGTTGAAATGCCAATAAAATGAATATATTTGTAATATTTTGGACCATTTACTTTTTATTCCTGTGAGTGTTTATCGTAGGCACTGGTTTGCCCAGGGGCCCAAAATGCTGTTAAGACGGCCTTGGCTCTCACATGAGATATATTCCTTGAAATGTTGTTATGATAACATTTATATCAACGTTGATATATATATATTATATCATTTATATCAACGCTTATATCTGTGTCTTTCTGATGACGTATAAAGCTTTAACCGTTATCAGCGAATCTCTCGAATTTTAAAATGTACGAGTGTGTGTGTACGGTTGGGGTGAAGAAAATAAAAAATATATTTTCGCTTCAGCTTTAGATATTTGAATGGTAAAAGATTCAAAATGTAGCTTATATTTTTGTCTTTCTGCTAGCATGTGAAACATTTACCTTTATTATCGAATCCATATGAACTCAACATTGATCTTGGATAAGTCCGAAAGTGTGCCTGAAACGTTATGCGTGTTAGTGACTGCTACAGTGTAAGAACACCAATATCATGTGCTCTAAAACCTAATCTACCTTCTTGTATATAAATAAATAAATACAAATAAATAAATAAGTCGCAGTTCAAGTTGATCAAATATATATATATATATATACACAACCAAAGTGCAGAAAGTATTGTAATACATACAGGTAGTGTGAGAGGACGGAGTGAGTATGATTGCAGAAAAAGAGTGAGTATGAGAGGAGAAAAGGAGGGAGTGTGAGAGGAGGGGAAGGAGTGAGTGTGAGAGGAGGGAAAGAGAAAGAGGGAGTATGAGAGGAGAAAAGGAGGGAGTGTGAGAGGAGGGGAAGGAGGGAGTATGAGAGGAGGGGAAGGAGGGAGTGTGAGAGGAGGGAAGGAGGGAGTATGAGAGGAGGGGAAGGAGGGAAGGAGGGAGTGTGAGAGGAGGGAAGGAGGGAGTGTGAGAGGAGGGGAAGGAGGGAGTGTGAGAGGAGGGAAGGAGGGAGTGTGAGAAAAGGGAGGGAGGAGAGGGTGGAGGAGAGAGAGGGAAGAACGCATGCGCAGGTGAGGGAGAGAAGGAGTGAGAGCAGGAGTGAGGCAGCAGTGGCGGTGGAGCTGTGGTCGTGTGGGGACGTGTGTGAGGCGGCGGTGTTGTCCAGCAGCTGCCGGGGGGTTCAGGTTAGGTTCCTGCTAGAGTGTGGCACCCCACTGCTGCCCCCTTCTCTAGCAGGGGGCACCCTTCCTCCTGCCACCTGGCTCTCTACTGAACGTCACCTGGCTCTCTACTGGACTTCACCTGGCTGTCTACCGGACTTCACCTTGCTGTGTATCGGACTTGGGCTGGGCGTGTACTGGACTCGAGCTGGGTGTCTGCTGGAGGTGGCGTAGGTGTGCTGCGGAGCAGGGCTGGCTGCAGCAGGTGACAATGGTGGTGGAGCCCGTGTGGAGAGGCGCCGGTGCAGCTTAGGGCTGCCCCTGCTGCTGCAGCTGCTCCTGCCTAACTAAAGGAGAACTATTTACACTCGGGTGGAGGTGGGCCGAGTAGTCTAGTAACGAGGAGCCTCGAGCAGAGGCTCCCAGGAGGCGCCACCACCCACTCCCACACTCAGCACCTGCCATGGCGTCCACCTCAGCACCATGAGAGGGCACACCAGCTGTGACCCCGACCTTGGTCCCGCCGCCTGGGGTCACCACTTCCCTAAGGGGTCACCAGGCTCCCTCACCTCGCGCAGGGGTGTCGGGGAGCCGTGGGAAGGCTCGGGCAGGAAGAGGGTAGCAGGGGCGTGGGGCAGTGTGGTGCGGCCGAGGGCGGCGGGTCGCCAGTGGGCAGCAGTGGCAGCAGGGGAGGCCGCCCGACGCAGCGGCAGGGGCGGCGGCCCCCTGACGGAGGGGTCACTACGGTGGCCGGCCTGGTGCTCACACAAGCTGGTGCTGGCCGGGTTCCTGCTGGTGGCCGGGTCGCTGGCGCCGGCCGAGTGTGGCAACCCGGACGCCAAGCGCCTCTACGACGACCTTCTCTCCAACTACAACAAGCTGGTGCGCCCAGTCGTCAATGTCACCGACGTCCTCACTGTCATGATCAAGCTCAAGCTGTCCCAGCTTATTGACGTGGTGAGTGTCTCTCCTCTCTTACTTGTCCCGGGTCACACCTGCCTTGTCCTGGCTCACACTCACCTGGGTCACACCTGCCTTGTCCTGGTCACACTCACCTGGGTCACACCTGCCTTGTCCTGGCTCACACTCACCTGGGTCACACCTGCCTTGTCCTGGCTCACACTCACCTGGGTCACACCTGCCTTGTCCTGGTCACACTCACCTTGCCCTGGGTCACACCTGCCTTGTCCCGGGTCACACCTGCCTCCCCCTGGGTCACACTCACCTGCGTCACACCTGCTTTGTCCTGGTCACGCTCACCTGGGTCACACCTGCCTTGTCCTGGCTCACACTCACCTGGGTCACACCTGCCTTGTCCTGGTCACACTCACCTGGGTCACACCTGCCTCCCCCTGGGTCACACTCACCTGGGTCACACCTGCCTGTCCTGGTCACACTCACCTGGGTCACACCTGCCTTGTCCTGGGTCACACTCACCTTGCCCTGGGTCACACCTGCCTTGTTCTGGGTCACACCTGCCTTGTCCTGGGTCACACTCACCTGGGTCACACCTGCCTTGTCCTGGGTCACACCTGCCTTGTCCTGAGTCACACTTACCTGGGTCACACTCCCCTGGGTCACACCTGCCTTCCCCTGGGTCACACTCACCTGGGTCACACCTGCCTTCCCCTGGGTCACACCTGCCTTCCCCTGGGTCACACTCACGTGGGTCACACCTGCCTTGTCCTGGGTCACATTCACCTGGGTCACACCTGCCTTGTCCTGGGTCACACTCACCTGGGTCATACACCTGACCCAGGGTCACACTCACCTGGGTCACACCTGCCTCCCTCAGGGTCACACTCACCTGAGTCACACAAGCCTGGGTCTCACACTCACCTAGGTCTCACTCACCTGGGACTCACACTCACCTGGGTCACACCTGCCTTGTCCTGGGTCACACTCACCTAGCCCAGGGTCACGCTCACCTGGGTCACACCTGCCTCCCTCAGGGTCACACTCACCTGAGTCACACTAGCCTGGGTCTCACACTCACCTGGGTCACACTCACCTGGGTCTCACACTCACCTGGGTCACACTCATCTGGGTCTCACACTCACCTGGGTCACACCTGCCTCCCTCAGGGTCACACTCACCTGGGTCACACTAGCCTGGGTTTCACTCACCTGGGTCACACCAGCCTCCCTCAGGGTCACACTCACCTTGCCCTGGGTCACACTCACCTTGCCCTGGGTCACAATATAGTGTCCTGATGAACACTTACCTTGAACCTCGTCACACCTATTTGTTCTGGGTTACCTCTGCTGTTAATCTGTGTTGAAATAGTTGGACTCGTGATAAATAATAATTAATAATAATATATTATTATTATTAGTTGTGGTGGTGTGGGGTGAGGGTGGAACTGGGCGTGGGTTTATCGACGATGAATTAGCAAGCGTTCGCCTAGAGTTCAATCGCGAAACGTCTCGGACGTGCGACCTTGGCGCCTAGTTCACCTGCCTGCCAACACAGTAGTAGATTGAGTTTGACCAATCACAGTGAAGGTAATATATTTCTACAGATCGCTTAGCAAATCACAGTGCTGCACTTGGTGAATAAAGGGCTAATCACGTGAGTTATGTCAGCTGATGTACATAAACACACATGGATACACAGCAGAAAGGTGTACTCCCCTTTCTTGAGGGGGAGATTTTGTAATTGATTTTGTAATCTGTATTAAAGCAGATTCAATTATGTTCCTATTGAAAGTGCTTTTACAATTCGTTATTGAGGAAGCCAATCAATTTGGAAAGGATTTGCTGACAAATGAACAAACAAATCATTAGACAATTGGCCATGTCTTACACAGTATTTATGTTGCGAAATTCTACATTTCAAATCTTTAGATGTTTGCCCAACATAGAACCTATTACAGTCTTAACAAGGTATTTTATAAATGACACAATTATCATTACGAGTAAACTGTTGGTAAACTAATAGTTTACCAACAGCGTTTTCGTAGTTTTTCGTACAGATTACAAAATCATGTGATTTGAACATTAGCAGTGGTTTATATAATTTAGATCCATTTTTGATAGATCAGTTAAAGGGCGATTTGAGTAGAATCATTGATACACATTTGTCTCACTAATTCATTGTTAATATTCTCTATCTTATGCTATTATTATTCATGTTTTGGCCCATAAGATCAAAGGTAACTGCAGAAGGCCTATTGGCCCATTGGATGCTGCTCCTATTCATACCCACCCAATCCTAGTCATTAAATTTTTATCATTGTACCTCACTTCACCTCTCTCCTGCTTATATATGTCCTAATCTTTTTACTTGTAACTCACCCTTCTGAAGATGTAATATATATATATATATATATATATATATATATATATATATATATATATATATATATATATATATATATATATATATATATATATATATATATATATATATATATATATATATATATATATATATATAATGGATGTGTTGGTGATGGATATTCTGGAGGTGGATATGATAGTGGTGGATATGATAGTGGTGGATGTGTGATGGATGTGTTGGTGGTAGTGGTGTTGGGTTTAGTGGTGGTGTTGGGTTTAGTGGTGGTGTTGGGTTTAGTGGTGGTGTTGGGTTTAGTGGTGGTGTTGGGTTTAGTGGTGGTGTTGGTTTAGTGGTGGTGTTGGGTTTAGTGGTGGTGTTGGGTTTAGTGGTGGTGTTGGGTTTAGTGGTGGTGTTGGGTTTAGTGGTGGTGTTGGGTTTAGTGGTGGTGTTGGGTTTAGTGGTGGTGTTGGGTTTAGTGGTGGTGTTGGGTTTAGTGGTGGTGTTGGGTTTAGTGGTGGTGTTGGGTTTAGTGGTGGTGTTGGGTTTAGTGGTGGTGTTGGGTTTAGTGGTGGTGTTGGTCTTAGTGGTGGTGTTGGTGGTGTTGTTAGTGTTGATATTGTGGGTGGTGATAGAGGTTGGGGTGATGGCGGTGGTGGTAGCGGTTGTGGGGGTGGTATTGGAGGTGGTGGTGGTGTTGGAGGTGGTGGTGGTGTTGGAGGTGGTGGTAGTGTTGTTGGTGGTGTTGGAGGTGGTGGTGGGGTGATGGTGGTGGGGGTTGGAGGTGAGGTAGTGGAGGTAGTGGTACTTATCTAACAATGACTTCGGGTGAGTGAGATCTAACTCTTTATGCCCCGCCCACTAACCTCGTTGTACCTGTTGCGTTACAAATTATTCTTTGCTGAATCTGGCCTTAAAGTTGTGAATGGAGGTGTCTTACACAACGTCTTTCAGTTCAATCCTCTCGTTGACTATCCTTACTGGATACGAGTATTTCTTTACATTCCGTCGGCTCATTTGCGTTTCCAGCTTCCAGCTGTGTCTTACTGTGTCTCAGTTTGAAGAGGATATCATTGTCCACCTAACCTATTTCCCTCAGTATCTTGTATTTTGTGATCATGCCCCCCTATGTTCCTTCTGTCTTCTAGGACCAAGTAAATCATCACAAGGTAGGACTGTGAGATTTAGTTCCAGTAGCCTATTTTCGTAGCTTAACCCTCTTAGTTCTGTCACCAATCTTGTTACAAACCTTTGCATGTTTTCAATTTTGGCTTTAGGCTTCACAACGTGCAGATTCCGTGCCAGTGCTTCTTATTCCACTATTGGTGTAACAAATGTTGTGTAGATTGCCCTGAAGGAGTCCTAATTTAGGTTTATGAACGTTATTCTTATATTTGCCAGCGTCCTATATGCTGCTGATGTTATCTTGTTTATGTGTGACTCTAGTGTTTGTGTTGGAACTATAGCCACTCCAAATTCATTCTCTCTCCAATTCCTTTAGCTGCCCATCCCTTCTGGTCTCCTCTTTCTATTTCCCATTTTCATTACCTGACATTTGTTGGGATTGAATTCCAATATCCGTATTTTTTTAACATTCTTGGAGTTTGTGAAGGTTCTCCTGCAACTTCCTGCAGTCCTCCTCTATTTTTACATTCCACATCAGCTTTGCATCATCTGCAAACATTGTCATGTATGGGATCACTCCCTCGGGCAGGTCGTTCACATAAATTAGGAACAGCAGCAGTCACTTTACAGAGCCTTGTGGGACCCTCCCACTTGCTACATTCCTCCAGCTTGAAACCTCCTCTCTGATTCTGATTCTTTGCTTTCTGTCCCACAGGTACTCCCTTACCCAGTCCAGTGTTATCCCAGTTATCCCAGCCTGCCTCTCAGTCTTGTACTTGAGTCTTTCATGAGGAACTCTGCCTCATGAAATTGTTTTTCGACAATTTGGGGAAAATAAAGTCTGCCCAGCCTTTTCCTGTTATATTTTAGTAACCCTGTCATGGAACCCGGTCAAGTTTGTCAGGCACGGTTTTCTGTTTCTAAATCTATTCTTTTATCATATTTGCCATGTAGTCGTGATTGGCTCCATTGCCTCTATTTAAGAAGAGCCGGCTCCCATTGCAACCCCCCTTGAAGTCTGAAATGGTGTATTTTTGTCAAGAGAGTTTTAAGCTGTTCAGAACTTTATGACAGATTTGCATTCTGGGGGGATCCCAACAGTTAGATTGTGCAACCTTTTTGGTTCGATGTAGTCATCAGGTCGATCCAAGCACCAAGAGGATACACTGGGTTACCACAAGCACTGGGTCGACCCAAGGACTGGGTCGACCTGGACTCCCAATATCTAAATAGCACAATGTTTTGGGATTGCCCCGGGCACCGTCTAGTACCTTGTCTAGTATAATATACATGCAAGTTGCTTAGTAATAACAGTCTATTTATTATGCCTTAAATTGTAATTAAAATATTAATTATAATAATACTAGATGGAGGGTGGGGATCCTGGCTGTGCCTGGGTCTCTCTCCCCTTTCCCCATTGTCTTCCTCTCCCCATTCTATTAACACTTCCTCTTCCCCATACCCTCTTCTCTCCTCTCTTCTCCCCCTCCATCATCCGCCCCTGTCTTCTCCACTCCCAGCCTACCTCCCTCTCTCTCATCTTTCCAAACCTC